ATGACGTGATCAGGCGCTTTATCAAATGCAAGGAGTGTTATTATTATAAATTCTCCTGTTTGTTGGAGGCTTGCTGTGCTGTTCTGGGATCAATAAGCAACCTCTGCAGGGTGGTTAGCATTGCGGCTGGAAACTCCAATAGGAGCAAGAGCGAGCGAGAGAGACTGTTTTATTATCACTATGTAACGCACCCCATACGTCTGTGTACAATCAGTGTGTTAAACAACACAGGCCCGCATTTAGCCTGGGTGTAACCCAGACCAACACAGTGCAGGGTAGCTAACACTGCACACTGTTACATTTCTAGGGCAGGATTGATCGAGACACGTAGCAGTTCACAAGGGAGGGAGGGAGGCGGGTAAAGGCTAGGATCTCTCGCATACACATACACACAACCATCGGTAGGAAATGAAGTGTGTCAGTCTTAATTCCGGGCAGGCAGGTATCCAACACACAGTGTCAGAAACCTGCACTTTCTGCCTTCAGCTTCCAGCACAGGCCTGACTGTGATTTATGGGCATTCAGAGTAATTCCTCAGGTCTATCTGCAGCTCGGTGGCAGGGTGGTATTGCCAGCCCTGCCAGCCTTGCCCTGCCTGCCTGTCTGCCTGTCTGCTGCCTTGCCCTCCCTTCCTTGCCTGTCTGCCCACTTGTTCTGCCCAGCCCTCCCCTGCCAGCCCACCTGCCCCCCCAGTGCCACAATTAATGCCCCCCCTGACCTTCCCTGCCCATGTTCCCCAGCTCCACTGTGCAATTTCACTAATCCTAATTATCTGGCATTTATATGCTATTTAAAAAGCAATCCGCTAACTCATATTTCAACAGAAGATCCCAGGTTGAAAACCATCTGTGCACATTACCCCCAGGTCTGCACACACACTGAACTATTTATCTTATTACATTACAAGGTTCTTAAGCAGACATCGCAGGATTTTTCCCACAGTCTCAAATTCAATATGAAACTTCCTCTCTGCGTTACAGATTTAGAACATGTTAGGATGCCGTGAGTTGGGCTAACAGTCTGGAGAACACTGCAAGAGACTGCGCTGAACGGGAAGCAGTGATAGTTATATTGTGACAGAGAGGTCGTCTGCATAGAGTTGAGATCGAATAAATAGACCCTGGTGGTCTTTTCCTGCACATTTTATAATAACAATAATAATCATTGCATTTGATACAGCGCCTTATCACGCTGTTGAGACGTCTCAAAGCGCTTCACAGAATATACTGTGGAGTGAATTGACTGTATATTTTATGGGCGAAATATGATATAACTCTGCATTAAACTGCCTCTGACTAAGCAGCGATCTGCTTTAAGGAATTTCCAACTGAACCGAATGCCTGGAGTAATGGGTCACCTCTTTTTCACAGAGGGCCATTTCCTTAATTACGATGCATAAGTGAATATATACATGCATACACATACATACACGCACATACATACATTCACACATACATATACATACATGCACATACATACATTCACACATACAAACATACACACACATATATACACACATACACGCACACATACACACATATACATGCACGCACATATATACATACATACAAACATAAATACATACATACATACATACATACACACACACAAAACCTGTCAGGCTTGCGCAAACGGATGTCACGGTTGAACATATTTACACGCATACAAGTTGACCTCACACACACACAGACATACACAGACCAGACCGGCGCAGGTTGAGATTCCAGGACGGGATGGGAAAGATAACTGATATTATTTTTACAGAGGGAGAGGGAGGGAGAGAGAGAGGGAGAGAGAGAAGGCTGTGATATGATGTATTTTCAGAGGTGAGATGAGCTCATTCATTCATTCATTCATTCACTTTCATTCACAGGACAGAGTTGCTGAAGGGGGGGGGGGGGGGTCTGTACAGCAGGGAAACCAGCCAGGGAATAGCAGTGGGGGAATGGGGGAATAACCCTTTCGAGGCTGCAAGAACCACCCTCATCCCTCCCTCCCTCCCTCCCTCCTTAACACACCTCTGCTCTGACTTAAATTTCCTTTCCTTCCTTCCTTCCTTCCTTGTTGGTGTGAAACTCAGACAGAACCCCCACCCCCCTCACCTTCACCCACCCCCGCAGACACACACACACACACACACGCGCGCTCCATATCCGCTAAGCTGTGAAAGTGAGAGGGGCGAGAGGAAGGCGAAGGGAGACGGTCGGGGAATGAATGGCACAGTTATAAGGTGGGACAGCACTAAGGTGAAAGGCGGTGTTAGGTTTCCACATTTAGTCCCTGTTAATCACTCCTCTCACACCGCAGCTCAGCTCTGAGGCTGAGTCAGACTGAGGCTGATCTGTAAATCGGGGGGAGATGTATATAATCCACCCCCTTAATGGGACAGACTGACAGCCACAATGTCCTGCCGAGACTCAAACCAAAGTAAGTGTCAGCTCTGTACAGTACATCAGGAGATCAGTCAAATAATAATAATTAACGATAATAATAATAATGATAACAATAATCCAGACGGATAAAAGAGGCCATTGGTTATATCCATAAAATAATAATAAAAATCCCCGCATTTGACATAGCGCTTTATCACAGAATGCAGTATATTGTAAAGTGGACTTTGCTTTACTTTGTCTCAGACTTTAAACGGTTTTTTAAAAAAATCTGTTGGTTTTCGTAAAACGCCAACGAATGGTGTTCAGCGAACACTCGTTCCTAATAACACCGCGAGTGTAAGCATCGAAAAAAATATAAGAATTATTAGTTTTTTAATGTCAAGACTTTTACACCGTCTGTGCCTGCAAAATGCACACTTTGTACTCCAGCCGTAAAAACGCTGTTTTTTGTGAACATTTCTCAATTAGCAACTGGATATGATAGAGTCCAAATAATACTAAGGAATAAACCCCACTCGCTGTTTATATCTTGCAATCGAGTGAGTGTGGTTATTAACAACCTGAAGCTGCTTTCAAAAGAATCCGCAGTTTAACTCGAGAAGTGGGGTGAGAGTGGTTTAAAGTAAAATCCTGTGGTATCTGTGTGTCTGTCATATCACCTGTTATATCGTGTGAGGGATTGTAACGTGTACCTCAAAGGGGTTGAGATCCAGAACAAACGGACTATTTGTGGGATTTTAAAAAAAATAAAAGAACAATTTTTTTTAAAAAAACAGAAATGCTAACATGTGCCTCGAAGAGGTTAAGATCCAGACAGAGTTGGCTGAGATTATTATTTTACACAACCTTTTATTTTACAAATCTTACACTATTCGTGGGGCAAAATCTACATACTTTTTTTTAACAAACAACTGTTTGTGCATATCAACTGCAAGGATTGTTATTATTTGAGTGTTTTTTTTACAAACTCTTTTTTTGTTACAACCGTTTTGACAAACGACTATTTGTGGGAACAAAAATAAAATACAAGGATCAAATGCAAGGATTATTATCATTATTATGGTACACGGCGAGATACATAGGTAAAGCCATGTCCCGACTAGTTAGTAAATAAGAGAAGAGGCAATAAACTTGTGAGAGCACTAACTGAGCTAAACTAGATGGAGTCCACCTCTTTCTTGGCTCGGGTTCATTGATAACTCTGTCCTTGTTTCCTGCATCTCTTCCACTCTCTCTTTTTCCTTCCAACCGAATTATTTTATTTCGCGATTCAACTGATTGTCAGACACACACACACACACACAAACCGCCTCATTTTTTAAGCCCCCCCCCCCCCCCCCCCCCATTTTTTGCATTACTTCATTGGCTCAATGAATGATCACACACACATAAACCACTCCATCCACTCACTCAATTACTAACCCATTAATTTATTAATTATTCACTGAAAAACTAGATGTGTTAACCTGCGGGGAATAAAAACTAAACCCCAGCAAAAAAAAGTGGGGGGAGGGGGGAGCGTTTGAGTGAGTGAGTGTGAATGCGCACACATTAAATCCTATAGCAATTCATTTTCTAAAACAAACCACTTTTCACACATACAGGATGTCATTTCTGAATGGGGGGGGGGGGGGGTCAGGATTCAATTCCCTCCCAAACACAGTATTTTTTTTTAAGTGGAGGGCGGGGGGAAGGTTGACTTCCTAACAACAGTCACGAACCAGTTAACTCCACGATATATTGGCCAGAAATGTGAATGTCTACCTTCCTTCTCAGTTTAGTCCCTATGTAATTGCACAGTGTATGTGTATAGGTTGAGGCAGACACAGTTCACCAGTCTGGCCCCTTTCACCCCGACTCTTTATATTGTTGCTCGTGTTCTGAGTAAAACGCTTCAATATGTTCCCAGCTCCCGGCTCCGTTGGGGGGAGGGCGAGACTGTCAGTATAGAAGGTTATTATTATTTCTGGGTTTTGTTTTGGGGTGTGGGGGGGGGGGGGCGGGGGGGTAGGGAAATCACAAGAAAAAAAAATCGCATTGTAACTGGTACTCACTGATTCGCACACGAGAATTTTACCTTGTAAATCCATTTTTATTATTTTCTAATGTTTTTAATTTTAAAAAAAGTTTCTTTTTAACTTGTCTGAAAGTGTAGCTTGTGAGTGAGTGAGTGAGTGAGTGAGTGAGTGAGTGAGGCTGGAGCTCCACATAGTGTATCTTTAGTGGATTAACTTATTTCTTTCCCACCCCCGAAAAAATGTGTGTGGTTTTTTTTTTTGGGGGGGGGGGGGGGGGGCAAAAAGTAACGACGTCTGGTAGCTTTTATATAACCAAAACGTTCATGGGAAACTTTTCCTACCCAAAATGGGGTCTAACAGGCGAGGGATGTACTTTCGGAAAATTTAAAGGGAATAAATAGTAGATATTTATTTTTGTGTGTGTTTTTTCCCTCTTAAAAAAGGAGGCATCGTGTGTGTGAGAGATCGTGTGTGTGTGTGTGTGTGTGTGAGAGAGAGAGAGAGCGCATCTCACCCACAACCACATTTCACACCAATTCCCCGAAGGCTTTGCTGGATTGGGGTCTGTCTGTCTGTCTGTGTGTGTCTGTGTGAGTGTGTCTCAGTGCTGACTGGAGCACAGACGCGCTGGGCTAACGGTAATGCAAGGATTCTCTCTCTCTCTCCCTCCCAAGCGTCTCATTGCCTTGTAAAAGTTGGCGTTAGGAGAAACCTTGGCCGTTAAAGCGACTTCCCTCCCCAACAGGTCCTTCCCGTGTCGGGATCATTCATCTCCCACCTTCTCTCAGACCAGGAGCAGAGAGAGAGGGGCTTCAACCGCACAGCTGGGGTCTAGCGAGGGTGAGTAACTCCTGAAGGGAAATTAACGCATTCAACGATGTGTGTGAGAAAGAGGAGGCTACATATGGGGGGGGGGGGGGGGGGGGCAGCTAAACTTAACACAGAGAATGAGAAAGCCCCCCCAAGTCATGAAGATGAAGAGAGAGAGAGAGAGGAAACAGAAGATAAACGAAGAGGATGAGAGGAAGGAAAGAAGAGTATGACAGATAGATAGATATAGACAGACAGACAGACAGACAGACAGATGGATATATTGATTGATTATGTGAGTACCAGTATATAGAGAGAGACACAGATGGATATATTGATTGGTTATCTGTACCAATACAGAGGCTGATCTTGAGGGCAGGACCTGTGGAGGGAAGTGTACTGTGACCGGGATGGGGAGAGGGCACTCGGCAGATCAGAACAGACCGATTTTGACATTTGGTGAATGTGGAGAACTTGTCTGTGTGTTTAGGGCGGGGAGTCGATGTCCGCTGGCAGGACAGCCTGGAAGAAGATGTTTCAGACTGTCCCCGACACTTCATCTTACGTGAAGGTAAGACACTGAGATGGACTGAGCTGAGCTGCTCTCAAATGGTAAATCACAATCCTGGGCAGTGGTTTTTAACACGAGAGAGAGAGAGGGAGAGAGGGGGAGAAAACAGCTCATTTTTTATGTGCTGTGGCCAAGGACAGCCTAATAAAGTGGGGAACGAGTTTACAGATTGTTTAATTACTTTTCGTTTGAACTCGCAATTATCCCCGTTGCGAATTCCTTCGTAATTGCGAATAATGAAATAATTAGCGCTGGGGAAATAAAGAGAGAGGGAGAGGGAGAGAGTGAGGGAAAGAACAAAAACAGACAGTTTTAACTTAACATAAATCATGAATTCTCCACCCAAACGGAGTATGAGTTGAAACGGGAAACAATTGATTTTTTTTCATTTTAAAAGCATTTCTGAGCCGCCGGAAGTTCAGCCGCTTTTCAGTTTATTATTAATTATATACTATCAATTTATACATTTATAGGTTGATCGATTATCGAGTGAGTTCTGTACTCAACAACAACAATGCTGATTTTTATTTTAACTCGGATTTTCCAGCGAAATGCAATCAAATTCACAACAAATTTCACGGCGTGATTTCCACACACATACCAGGAAATTGTACCTAAAATAATTTAATATGTCTACTTTTATTACATTTTACAAGCTTAGTGGGGGAGAAAAGAACACTCTAAGAAGCCGTTCGCTCTCATTCGCCCACAAAACACACAGTCACTACACTTATACACAGTCACACACTTATAATGTACAATATATTCTGTGAAGCGCTTTGAGATGTCTCAACAAGGCGTTATATCACATGCAAGAATTATTAAATTATTATTATTCCCGGGGATAAATAGTGAGGGGTTTGAAACCAGAAATCGGACACTGTGTGTGTATAAAAATAGGAGTCAAACGGCGCGCATTTGCAGACATCTTACTCTTAATATTTGGGTATGGAATAATGAAAACAAGGAGAAAGGAATTAATAACACGCCGTGTCTCCTGTGTGTAAGTGAGAAACCAGAATATTGCCCTTCTCGCCTCTGTCCAGACAGAAATCACTCTTACAATTTCCCCAGAATGTTAAAATTCACCATTCGCCTCTGGCGGAGGCGTGTATGCGGTTTTATTTTGCTTTAAAAATAAGAATAAAATGGTATATTTTAGTCACACGCGTAACTTTGGTACAAAGAACTCTGAGACGAGGCTTCTTGAGGGTCCCCTGATTTCTAGGAATTAAATAGTTTGTAGAAGCGCTGTGAGACGCTTCCAGTCTCTCTTTCGCTCCCCCAAACCTCAATCTATCAGTCTGTGCTGTTTACAGTACCCAGACTCCTAGAGTTATCTGTAGAAATAAAACCATAGGAATATGCACCCCCCCCCCCAACACACACAGTAACTTTCTTTTATAAGGAGTTACAAAGCCTCTCTCTGTATTTATGTCAAATTTGCGCCTATTTAATTATAGGTGGCAGCGTTTTGGGGGCTGCAGGTGTGTGTGTGCGAGAGAGAGAGAGAGAGAGACCGTGACTGATGGAACCCAACGCCTTTTAATCTCAGTTTAACGCCAAATAATATTACAAATTCTTGCATTTGAGAAGATGGAACGTCCCAAAGCGCTTCGAGGGAATATACTGCAAAGTGGATTACTGACTGACTGACTGACTGACTGATTGACCGCGTATTCTGTTGGCCAAACTCAAAAGGGGGAAAAAAAACAGTGGCTAAAACGATATGGGTAGAGAGGCCGTGTATATGTTTGTGTATGTATATGTGTGTGTGTGTGTATGTACTGTGTGTATATTTGCGTGCGTGTATGTTTATATGTGGGTGTGTGTGACATCGTGTGTGTATGTGAGACACAGTCTCGGAGCTGTTCTGTTCAGTCTAAAACGCTGAATGTTGCTTTGCTCGGCAGTTTTATACACAATATATTAATAAAAGACACACACACGCACACACATGGGAGAGAGAGAGAGAGAGAGCGTGAGCACGTTTCCTCGCAGCACCTCACCACGTTTGTGTTATTTCACCAAAAAAAAACTGTTTTTCCAGACAGTCTCGTCTGCAAGCGGAGGAGAGGTCTGAGAAAGGCGAAACAGTTCCTTCTCTGTTCCCTGCTTTCCCCTCCCTCCTTCCCTCCCAGACAGGGTTCAGCCAAAGATCAATGAGCCCCCCCTTTCCCTCCCTCCCTCCCGCCCTCCTTCCTCCCCCGCGCTTTGGAACCGCGGTATATGCGTATGTGTGTGTGTGTGTGTGCACTGCGCGAAAAATCGCTCCCTTCACTGAGGCGTCCGCAAGCGTTTTAGCGAGAGATGCACCTACAGTGACACCTCTAACACTGACGCGTGTGTTATGATTATAATAATAATAATCCTCGCATTTGATACAGCGCCGTATCACGTCTTCGAGACTCCTCAAAGCGCTTCACGGGATATACTGTAAAGTGCAGCGACTGTATTTTGTGGACGAAACTTTTGTGTTCCTTTCTGAGTGCTAAACCATGCGTTATTTTTTATTCTTATTTTATTGAGAATCTGTTATTTTTTTTAAAAAAAATGCGCTCGCGACAAACGCCGAGAGAGAAAGGAAAGGCGAGGCGGGCTTTAGACTTTATATTAGATTATGTTTCATTCAAGCACATCTCGCCCGGCTCCCCCCGCGCTCTCTGGCTGGCTGCTGGCTTGTTTGGCTAAGGTCAATGGAGATTGAACGCTCCAATAAAAATAAATCTTAAATTAATGATCTGGCCCCGAGCTCAGGTCCAGACAGTTTTGCTTGTGTGCTCAGCCACCCCCACCACCACTAGCGCCCCCAGAACTCTCTCCCTTCCCCCGCCCCCCCCCCCCAGCCCCTCCCCAGCAGCCCCCTCTCCCTCCCCACAGCCGCCCCCCACCAAACCCCACTAGCCCCTTCCAGCACCCTCCCCAACATCCCCCAGACCCTCTCCTCCCATCCCCCTGTCCCTCCCCTCCCCAACCAGCCACCTCTCCCTCCATCCTCCCTCCAGCCGCCCCCCTCCCCAGCCCCCCAAAACCAACCCACCCCCACAAAATGATGAGGTTTGACGCGCCTGTGTGCTTATTGGTGTTACGCGGCTGGTTTGCCGCGTTGCCAGTAGCGCTCTCATTCACTATTGCTCTCTCGTCTGTAAGTTGTAAATAAATATTGCTGTTTAATTTGCCTGGAGCTGCCTTTGGCTTTGGTTTGTATCTTCTCTTCTGTTCTGGAGCCCATTCTGTGTCTGTGTGTCTCTCTCTGTCTGTGATTATGTCTCAGTCTCAAACCAGGGAAAGATGGAACCTGGGGGGGGGGGGGGGGGTGGTGGGTGGGAGGGGAGGTGGTGGGGGGCACCTAGACTGTGTGACCCGGCGTGACTGGGCCGTGTGAACCCACCACAGGCCTGAGTCATGCTTTCTTGAGTCGTGACAGATACCTGTGGAGGGCATGTATGTGTCTGTGAGGGGGGGGGGGGGGGGGGGTTTTGTGTGTGTGTGTGAGGGGGGGGCGCGGTAGTGGTCTTTAGGGGGGCGGAAGGAGGACACCCCCCACCCCATAGAAATAATATGCAAAATCTCTCAGTAAAGTGGGAGTGTCAGACAGCTGAGAGGAAGAGTATCTGATGATGATCTCTCAAAGGAGGGTGTTTGGTGGATGACTTCTGTCAGCTCAGCCCCGGAGAGATGGGGAGAGATGCGGAGAGAGGGATGGGAATGAAGAGAGAGAGAGAGAGAGAGAAAGACAGGGAGTGGAAGTGTATCTCAGCCTCTGTAGATCCCAATAGCGAGCATTACTGCTTATGTTTTGGAATATGAGTGATTAAATACCTCCCTGTTGTAGGCAGCGCTAACGTGGGCATTCGGTTCTCTTGTACACTAAAACTGTATTCCAAGCTGGTGAGCATATACATGATCCAAATATCCCCCCTCACCCCAACACACACACACTCATACACACGTCTTGGGTGCAGACTTAAGTAGTTTACTTTGGGAGAATGAATATGGGAGTAGGAGAGAGGGATTATGATACAAATGCAAATAAATACCCCAGTTTTCTCTATCTAATAGAGATCACTAAACAGATACAAATTAGTAGCTCTATTTATCATACCTATATTACCTATATTTTACCTAGATTACCTATATACCTATGCTTATAATATATATATTTCTCTTCATATGAATAGGATTTCAAACAGCAGTAGTTACGCTCTTATTTATAATCCTATTTATATTAAGCGAGATAGTTAATATATCTATTCACTGGAATATATTCACTGAAAGTTAACATATATTTTAGGGTTAACCAAAACACGAAACTATATTTTGAATGGCCTGCTTATTCGAGAGAACATTTTCGCGCCGACCTCGCCTCCTAAGTAACATCTGTGGAAAAAATTGCGATGATTCTTAACGGTTCGTTAAATTCAATTACATTGAGTTAAATGAACGCATGTGTTAAGATAACAACAACAGTAAGGCGAGGGCAGGTTTCAACGCTTACGTTTACGAAAAAAAAGGGGGATTGTCCGTGGGTTTTCTTAACGAGCGCAAGGAATGGGTTAAGAAACCCCAGCGCAAATTGTGCCCCCAATTGCGCTGACGCTGGGAGTAATGGCGTTCGCTAATTGCGCGCTGTTACTTTTCCGCCTGTTTAGCCGCAGACAGGGGTAAAGGGTATTAGGTAAGACGGGTCATGTGAACTGTGTGTACAAAGGGTATTTTATATATAAAAACATGACAATAAGCACCTTAACTCAAGCCCAAAGCGGGGAATGGAGCCCTCGCTTCCGAGTCTCAAACTATCCCCAAACCTTGGCTTGAGAGATTTAGTGTGTGTGAGACACAGAGAGAGACACAAACAGAGAGTGTGAGAGAGACAGAGAGGGTATGTGTTTCTATGTGTGAGAGAGAGTGAGTCTGTGAGACACAGAGAGAGTGAGTGTGAGTGAGACAGACAGTGTGTATGTGAGAGTGATTGAGTGCATGTGTGTGAGTTTGAGAGACAGAGTGAGTGAGTGAATGTGAGAGAGAGAGAGACAGAGAGAGCAAATGGCCACAGGGTCCCGAGTTCGCTGACTTTGGACCAAATCAAACGGTGACGATTGTTTCTTTTGCTTATCTCAGCGACCAAAATATCCTGCTTTGAAAAAAAACTCTGTGTGTAATGAGCCCCGATCATTGGTTAAGCGCTTCCTCCCGGGCGGCGACTGACTTCACTTCCCAAAACCTCGCCACATACAGCCATCCGGTGTTTCACCTCCTCTCCTGTCCTCTCCCTGTGTGTGTGTGTCCGTGTCCGGGGTAAGCGGGGAGGGTACCTGCTCATTGCCCGGGTCATGTTCGGCATATTGTTCCCATTGGGGGAAAAGGGACGATATTGGGTGACATGGATTGCTCCATTAAGGTAAGACTAAGAGAGAAGAGGGGTTCGGGGGGGGGCGGGGGGTCGCTGAGACTCGATCCCCCCTGGCGCTTGGCTCACGCCCCCTTCTCTCCCCTCCCCCCATTCTCCCCCTTCTCTTCCCTCTTTCCCCCCTCCTCTCCCCTCCCCCCCTCTCTGGTGTCTCAACTTTCTTCACAACTTTCCAACCCAAAGCGGTAAATCCGATTTCCTCTTATTTCCTCTCTTTTTTTTTCCCTCCCTCGCTCTCTCCCATCTCCTGTTAAATTTCCTCTTCCTTTCAGCGCCCAGAGCAAGTGTGTGAGATGTGAGCTGTCAGTGAGATCGACACACACAGATAAACACAGATAGAGACAGAAAGACACTGTGAGACAGATAGACACAGAGACAGACACACAGAGAGACAGAGAGACTGGGTGGGATACTCAGAACCCCTCGGGTCGGGTGCGCCTCGCTTTCTGTCGACTCACTTCTCTTCCAAGTTTTGGAATATTTGGCTCAGAATCGTCCCGCCTGGGGTGGGGTGCGGGATGGGGGGGTATCAGGCTCTTCACCGCTTCTCCCTGCTCGGGTTTAGCCCGGGAGAGCGCCATGGGAGGAAGGTGGACGGGACCTACCAGACAGACAGCGCGTCCTGGAGACATTTCAAGCTGCGTAATGTTGGTTTATGGCACAGCGCCCGGGTGTAACGCAGTGTCACCGGGACCTTGCTCCTCGCCCTGCCCTTGCCCCAGTCCCAGCCTCTGCTCCCAGTCCCAGCCTCTGTTCCCAGTCCCAGCCTCTGTTCCCAGTCCCAGCACCCAACCTCAGCCCTCAACCCCCAAACCCAGCAACCCCCACATCGCGCCTCAGCCGCGAGGGGAACAGGCTGACCTACAAGTAAATCCGAACGAGGGAATCCGGGGGCTGCTGAAATGTGACGGGTCAGTTTGTGGTGTCATTACTTTGTTTTCAGTTACTGAGGAAAGCGAAGTTTGCAGAGTTGGGAAACGCGATCGCCTGAACCCTTCCCGTTTCCCGGGGCTGGGGAATGAGACTGTGAGAGAGAGAGACTAGTAGGGAGAGTCTGGGAGAGAAACTGGGAGAGGGAGAGAGAGAGACTGGGAGGGAGAGTCTAGGAGAGGGGGAGAGAAACTAGGAGAGAGAGAGACTGGGAGGGAGAGTCTAGGAGAGGGGGAGAGAAACTAGGAGAGGAAGAGAGACTAAAATAGAGTGACTGAGGAATATAGCGAGCGTTTTTTATCTCTTCAATGCCCGCTTTGCCTCAGCGACTGAGGAGACGGTCTTTCTCACCAGTCTCTCTTATCGACACACCAGAAGGCTTCCGTTACTTAGTCTTGTTTCCTTCTGTTGTAAGTACAGTATAACAAAGAGGAGAGAGGGTGAGAGCGTCGCTTCTCTCTCTCTTTCTCTCTGCTCCTGTGTAACAAGCAGTCAGTGAGTGTGCAGTTGTGATGTGTTGTGCGTTTTATATAAAAATCTGTTTTGATCCTCTGTTTGTTCCCAGGCTGTGCTGTAATCGGTGAGCTGGCTGGCTTTCTCGCTGGCTCTCTCCTCTCTCTGTCTGTTTCACTTTCTCCCCCCCACCACCACCCCCTCTCTCACCCTCTCCCTCCCCTCTCAGTCTGTCTCCCTCTCTGTCTCCCCCCCCGACTCTCTCTCTCTGACTCTCTCTCCCTGGCTGTGAGGGTTGTTGTGAGGGTTTTTGTTGAGAGCTAGCAGATGTAGAAAGCAATTTGAGAAACCGCAACGGGTTAGAGTGTTTGTCAAGTGATGTGATCCTATTTGCGGCGCTATGTACAGAGGGATCTCTCTCTGAGAGAGAGAGCGCGGGGGACATGCGGAGCGCATTATTCTTAACCTTTAACCATCACAACTCGCTTTGCCCAGATGGTGTAAATAGTGTGTGAGTATGTGTGTGTGTGTATATATATATTGTTTTTCTATGAATGAACCTTAATACACAGAGTGCATTCATTTACAAATACCTAAGACTGTCGGATATTGTATTGTTTTATATTATACTGTATAATGTACACATATTCACGTGTGTATATAATACATATATTACTAAAATAATATACCCTTTTATGACAAACACCGTTACAAACAGTCTGTTTCAAACCGACGAGTGAACGATAGTTAATTATGAACACACACATATTTCTATTAACTTTAGTCCCATTGTATAAGGCCTTCGTGTTCCCAATATAACAAATAGTCGATAATAAAATATCTGACAGGATTAGGTGCTTTTATTTAAATGAAGACACTTAAATGTGTGTGTATATACATACGGTTCATTCATAGAAATAATGATGATCGTGAAATGCGCGTTGGGCTGTTTAGCACATGGACTAATCATAATGAAAGGCTTTTGCAGGTGGCCCTTAATTGTAATTAGCCAATGAAAAGGATAGAACTTTCTATACTCCCTGGGCTATTAACCCGAGCTGCATTTTAGCAACAATATATTCTCATAACAGGGAATGAATACAAGAACATCTCAAATAATCACAGGCGCCAGAACCCTGATGTAGAAGCTACTCCTATACAAACACTCTCGCACTCACCAACATAACGCAAACAATAATCCGTATATTTTACTTGTGTTTTTGATTTCTGTGTGAGGATACGTTGCTGTTAAAATGCAGATTGGGTTTCGCTCATAAAATAAACAGTCACTACACCTGACGCGCACTCTCACTCTCTCCCTCACTCTGTCTCTCACACCCCCCCTCTCTCTCTCACACACTCTCTCTCTCCCCCCAGGAGGCTCTCTCGGTTGTGAGTGACGATCAGTCCCTCTTTGACACCTCCTACGCCGCTGCCCACCTGCCCAAAGCGGATATGACGGCCTCGGCCGCCGCCGACTATGGACAGACCCACAAAATCAACGCTTTGCCCCAACAGGAGTGGATCAACCAACCGGTCCGCATGAACATCAAACGGGAATATGAGCACATGAACGGCTCCAGGTAACAGACACCTGTCCACCTCGCGCAGGCGCACTGCACGCCAGGTATCCCCCCCCCTCCACACACCTCTGGCAACATGGGCCCATCCCAACAAGACTCTGGGACGTGAGCTATCTCTGGCCAGCGCCTTGGGACGCCCTCTCCACGTGACAGGAGGTAGCGAAGCCCAATTTTGTGGTGGTGTTGTCCTGGGGTCACCCTGGAGACCACCCCCCGCCCCCCCCCGATTTGCTGTGGCTTTTAATCCCATCGCACACCCCATTGCTAACTATTTGGAGAGTTTCATGCCAAATGTTTAAGGGAGGAGATTCCATTTCACTGACCAATGGTTTGGGTACCTGTGTCTCTCTCCCTGAACTCGATGGTTCAGGCCGTGATGTACTGAGCTCGTTCTGTGCTCACAAACACACAGTCACTACACCTCCCAACACATCCTGTGAAAGCGCTTTGAAACGTCTCTCCCACCCCCCCATCCCGCCGACATGAGAGGCGCTAACAACAACTTACATTGATATAGCGCCCCTCCCACAGTGCAGCGTCCCAGAGCGCTATTAAACACAAGGATTATTATATTATTATTTTATCGCATTATATTTGAGCGATTAACGTTTCACCACACTGAGAGGAGAATTGTCATGTCAAGCCTGGGGGGCATTTAAAACACTAAATATTCCCCTCCAAATGAATGATATAATTACAATAATCTCATTGTAAAATATTGGGTTGTGAAGCGTTAGAGAGAGTTATACATTGTGGGCAGCTGACAGATACCTCAACCCCTTATTTCTCGTATTATTATTATTATTTGAACTTTTCCCCCTCTCCCTCGCTCCTTTCAAAAATAACACTTTTCATGAAGATTGGGAGATTTCTCCTGTTCGAATTGAGAAATTCGTACCCACAAAATGCACAGTCCCTCCACTTTACAGTATATTCTGTGAAGCGCTTTGAGACGTCAAATTCAAAGATTATTATTATTATTATAATAATTGGGACTGTTAATGGGGACAGTATAAACCGGGCTGGTCTTAAAATAGACTAGTCTGATTACAGAACGTGCAATCGCCTCAAACGTTATTATTATTATAAACTCAGTGATATTTAGCTGAAGGTAAAAAAAAAGGACGTTTCATCCACAAATAACGGATCAACCGCAGCAAAAGGCTTATTGGCGTCTTGAATCTTTCAGCACAGAGGGAGACCATTTAGCCCATTTTGCCTTTGAAAGAGCTATCTGTGTCTCACCCCCCACCCCACTCAAAGCACCTATTACACAGCTCTGATAATGCAGAGGTCACAAACACACGTCAACATTGTCAAAACGGATGGCTTCTGTTTTCAACGAGTTTTGTTGCAGGAATGAGCTGCAGAACTGGACTGTATCACTACGTGTGCTTCATAGACACGACAATGACAGAGAGATGGCACCTGCTCTCTTCTCTCGCCCCATTCTCTCTCTCTTCTCTCTCTCTCTCTCTCTCTCTTAACACCTCTCACTTTCTCTCACTCTCACCCCTGTCTCTCTCAAATCCCCTCTCCACGTCACTATCTCTCGCTCTGTGTGTCTCTTTCTAACATCACTTTCTGTGTGTGTCTCTCTGACTACCCCTCTCTATGGGTGTCTCTCTGACTACCCCTCTTTATGTGTGTCTCTCTGTCTACCCCTCTCTATGTGTGTGTCTCTCTGACTACCCCTCTCTATGTGTGTGTGTGTGTCTCTCTGACTACCCCTCTCTATGTATGTCTCTCTGACTACGCCTCTCTATGTGTGTCTCTCTGACTACCCCTCTCTATGTGTGTGTCTCTCTGACTACCCCTCTCTATGTGTGTGTCTCTCTGACTACCCCTCTCTCTGTGTATGTCTCTCTGACTACCCCTCTCTCTGTGTATGTCTCTCTGACTGCCCCTCTCTATGTGTGTGTCTCTTTCTCACACCCCCTCTTGTTGCCCTCAGGGACTCCCCTGTTGACTGCAGTGTCACTAAGTGTAACAAACTGGTCAGCGGCTCCGACCCCAACCAACTAAACTACAACAGTTACATGGATGAGAAGAATGGCCCACCCCCTCCCAACATGACAACTAATGAGAGAAGAGTCATCGTCCCAGCAGGTAAATTGCCTCACCTGTGTGTGGGTGTGTGTGTGGTGGGGAAAGTCACCCCCCCTTCCTTCTTCCCCCCCCCCAACGCCTCCCTCTGCCCCCTCCTCCCCCCTCTGCCCTCTCTCTCTCTCTTCCCTCTGCCGCCCTCCTCCCATATCCAAAACCTTGCTCCTGTTTGCTGTGATGACAGACAGTGTAAGTGCCGAGGGTTTGTCCCGGGAATTGTAGGTGGAAGCGGCCGGACATTGAATGTTCCCTGTCCAGACAGTCAGGTTGTGGGGATAGTTTCCCACCGCACATCTGGGCTGAGTAAAGGTGGTGCAAAAGGGCAAAGGCCGATTGAGGAGCATCAATGTGCCAGCGCTCAGTGGTCAGGGGGCTATGTGTGTGTGTGTGGGAGGAAGGGGCTATGTGTGTGGGGAAGGGGCTATGGAGAGGGTTGTGTGTGTGTGTGGGGGGGGGGGGGGGTAGCTATGTGTGTGTGGGGAGAGGGGAGTCCTGGCTGAGGTGAAGGTCCCAGTGCCTGACTCCCCCTCTCCCCCCCCCCCCCAGATCCCACGCTGTGGAGCCAGGAGCATGTCAGGCAGTGGCTGGAGTGGGCGGTGAAGGAATACGGACTGGTGGACGTTCACGCGAATCTGCTGCACAACACCGACGGCAAAGAGCTGTGTCAGATGAACAAAGATGACTTCCTGCGCCTCACGTCCCTCTACAACGCAGAGGTCCTCCTCTCTCATCTCAATTACCTCAGGGAAAGTGAGTACATCCCCAGCACAGGGCAGGCACAGGGCGACTGGAAGCCAGAGCAGAGCCGGCCATGGGGGGGGGTCATTAATTACATCCACAGTATTGTGGAGGAGGAAGAGGACGTATTGGGTGGTGGTGGAAGGGGGTTGGGGAGGTTTGGGGGGGTAGTGGGTGGGGTTGTAGCCTCCTGTTAGGATTGTGGAAGGGGTAGAGATGCGTTTGACGTCTGCACTGATCCTCGTTATACACAAGTGACTTTGTGAGCACCACAGCTCCGATTGACAGTATCCACGTAAGCACCGGAGAGCGCCTGTGCTGGAATAGCGCTCAGGAGGTGGCGTCCCGACTAACACTATTATTGGCACCAATAATAATAGTGAAGCTGTCTAGGGCACAAAACCACTTGTGAGGAGCCAGGTTTCCCTTTTCCTCTCACTATTTCACAGCAACCAACACTGAACACACACACATATATATAATATACAGCATATATATATATAAGAGAGAGAGATGTGTTATATAATTACACACACTGATGTGATGCGAAGGTTTTTACGCTGTGTATTAAAATAGACCCGTTATAACGTCGTATGACAGGCTCCAAGTTAAAAGGAAACCTTTCTCTTTCTGGCTGATGGCGTTTTTTGTGGTCACAAAATCTACAGTCACTACACTTTACAGTATATTGTGTGAAGCGCTTCGAGACGTCTCGAATAAAGTGATCAGGCGCTGCATCAAATGCACAGGTTATTATTGTAATAATTATTATTTGAGAACTGGAAAGCATTCATTCAGTATTTCACCGAAAATGAGATACAAAGAAATCCTTTCGCCTTGTGTGGGTCCGATTTATTTCAATCAATTGACTATTTTATTTTGTGTGAGGGGTGGGGTGTGTGTGTGTGTGTGTGTGTATGTGTGTGAGGGGGGGTATGTGTCTGTGTGTGGGGGGGAAGAAAGCTGAAAGACAAAAAGTTGAGTGAGTTTTGTGTATAGTACAATATCTTATATATTGCAGTATATCTGGCCAACACATGTGGGGGTTTTGTGGAAGGTAACATAATGTGAACATATTGCACAGCGCGTCTCAGCGACTTTATAATGGCCTCAGTGTAACAGGAGATCAGGTCACATCCGACCCCGGCTTTAGATTTCAGTAACAATGGAAAAGACAGACTTCCTCAGATTTCTTTCCTTAAATCTTCTCTCAAATCTGCCTATTAGTATTGCAAAACATCTTTAAAATATACAGACTTCATTCAGCCCGCTCGATTAAGCAGCGCAGTTAATAATAATAATAATAATAATAATAATGACACAAACTACAATACAACATTACATTTATAAAGTGCCTTTCAGAAATTACATTTATAAAGTGTATTTATAAAGTGTCGGGAGGACGTCCTAAGGCGCTGGAATAATAATAATCATCCTTGAATTTTGATATAGAGCCTTATCCCTCTTTACCTTCAGTCTTAAAAGCTCGAGATTTGGGAGAAGAACACTGAATGGAATCCACGCCAAACCAATCGATTTTTAATTTTTTCTTTTAACCTTTTTTTGGGGGCTTTCATTATTTTAGTTTGGAAATTAAATTATTTGCAAATATATATTTTAACAGATCTATAAATATGTATTTAAAAAAATCGTTTCACTTGGTCCTGTCCCTTGAAGTTGACGTTTCCTTGTCTCAAGTCCCTCTGTGTTCCTCATACAACATACACTCACTTTCCTGTACTGTGTATAACCCTGAAATCGCTTTGAGTCGCGAAAGGTACTCTGGCAATTATCAGGATGATGATTATTTAAATGGAAGTTGCTTTGACAGCGATTTCTGTAGTTTCCAACCTCAATATTTTCCCAAAATAACGTTAAACCCCAGATTAGCCTTAGATTTTGCTATTAAATTTAGCCATCTCTCGCTGGTTTAATGGCTCTGTACGATAGAACTGGGACTAAATATTTTGCATTCATCCTTTTTTTTTGCTTTCTTTAAAAATATGTATCGTTTGCAGAGCATTAATGGGAATGTCCATTTGATGCAGTTTCTTCTGGAGACGGGATTCTCTGTGTAAATTCTTTGAGGCGTCTGTGATTAAAATGCCGCGTCAAAATGCAGGGATTATTATTAATTATGACTATTAACTCTGCTGCCTCATCGAGCGGGCTGTCATCTGGGATTATTTTTTTTTGTAGATTTTTAAACTGCACCCAGTTATGGAAACCATTTTACTAAAAAGAATACCGACACACACAGTCGGGATTGCGTACTGGGAGCTTGTGTGTGTGTGTGTGTGTGTGTGTGTGTGTGAGAAGAGTGTGTGTGAGAAAGTGTGTGTGTGTGTGATAGAGTGTGTGTCCAGATGTAAATGTAACCTCACAAACTGTCTCTCTGGCGTCTGTCATTGCTCCGAAGCGCTCTGAGACGCTACCCTGCGTGGAGGGCGCTATATAAGTGCAAGTAGTTGTTGTGTCTTAAGCCATCAGCTCCATGGCGGGTGTCAGTCAGTCAGTCCCTCTGGTCTCCGCTGTGTTATCTGTCGTCAGATCGCGCAAACAAAATACGGAATCCAATCGATTCGCTGTGGAGTCTCCCACTCGGAGGGGAAAGTTTGCAGAAGGGGAGAGAGGGAACATCACTAGTTTTTCTTTGACTTTTACCTGAACAATCACAGGATGTATTTGAGCCGTGTGTTCCTCTTTCCCACAGTGTTTTCCCCCAGTGTCTTTCCGATATAATTAGATAGAACATTATTGGTATAATAATGATATATTATTATTATTTCCATTATCAAACAGAGACGGGATATTCTCACAATTATTCACAGCCTCAATATTTGTGGGGAAAACAAGTTAGAAGATGTTGGTTGCTTAAAATAAAGCGTTGAGGTCTGGGTTTTGATCAGCTCAAGAGAGAAAGCGAAACGCACCAGTGTTTTCTGGGGTAAAAACAAATGACAAATGGATGTTTGGCGTTTAAGGTGTGGAAATGTTGTTAAGTGACGGGCATTGTGAGTCAGGGGGTGGGGAGAAATCAAATCTAATTTGAAATGTAAACCAATTCACTGTTTATTCAACCTGACAGGCAAACTGAGTCTTAAACTGTCCCAATCCACTAACTGTTATAGAGAATCAGAGCTTTTGACCACAGAGGACTCAGCTCATTATGAGGCTGTGTAATCCCACTCCCTTGTCGATTACCCCGTTATATTGTTCCTTATCGCATGTTTATCTGCTTCCATCTCAATCCATCTCCTAACAACCCTCTGTGTGTGTGTGTGTGTGTGTCTGTGCGGATAAAAAACACAGGTTCATGTTCTCACCTGTGATACATTCAGATAAATTAGTTACACAATAATAAAATCACAATGTTCTCATTTCAAGAACTTGTGGGGTGTGTGTCTGTGTGTCCTTCACTGTAAGGCTGCGGTAATTATCCTTGGGTTGTAACAGCCGATGTGAAATTCCCACCATAAGAGGGAAGCCCAATTAACCCTTTATTAGAGTCTAACATGATGGGATTTCTAAAGGGATTCCTTTATGAGGAATCGGAGTGGAACATCGCTGCTGATGACTGGAAATGTCTCGCTGTCCTTGTGCTCTGCTCTGAAGTCGATGGTGTCGGAGTGTACTTCCTGAGGCTCAGTATGACACAATTTCCTGTTTCTTAATTAGGGAATCCTGTTTGAAATGGTCACAATTTAGAACCCATTCGGAAAGGAGTTGAGAATGACTTGCGATTCAATCCACGATCCTGTACCACTTACATTTCTTATAGCGCCTTTCGCGTCAGGAGGACTTGTTAAAGTGTTTGAAATAGGCTGGCGGGGTGCCTATGGTAGGGGCGAGAGGTGAAAGGGGTTCATAGAATTATAGAACCTTGCAGCACAGGAGGAGGCCATTCAGCCCATCGAGCCTGTGCCGACTCTTTGAAAGAGTTGCCAACTAGCCTCACTCCCCCGCTTTTACCCCACAGCCCTGCAAATATTTTCTTTTCAAGTACCCATCCAATTCCCTTTTGAAAGCTTGTGGTTGGGGGTGAAGGGGGTTGGGGTTGGGGAGAGAGAGAGAGAGAGAGAAAGATGACCAATATTGTGGTCAAGGAGGTATGTCTTGAGAGTTGTGACAATCCCATTTCTGTGGTGCATTAATTCACGCCAATCTGCTCTATGAGATCAACTCAGTCAATGGATACGCAAGCGTTTGAGTTATGACAGCCACATTAGGATGGGCACACAATTAGGCTGTGGACAGTTTACTGACAGGAATGTGGCAGACAATGACTGGTGTTTAGCCTGTAAATCTCAGATATGTTGTTGATGCCACATGCGATAATAGAATCAAATTGAAAAGCAAATGTTTATGACATCAAAGGAAACACTCTTACAGCAACAAGAACAACAAATTTACATTTATATACAATAATGCCTTTCATGTTGGGAGGTCATTATATAAATGTAAATTTGTTGTTTTTGTAAGAGTGTTTCCAATCTTCTTCCTTTGATATAATAAACATTTGTTTTTTTCACCAACAAAGTACGCAGTCAATCCACTTTACAATATATTTATTATTATTCTGTGAATAGCTTTGACATGTTGCAACAAATTAAATTCCTATAGTGGTTTTCACATTGGGAGAATGTTCTAATGTGCTGGAGGTGTCAATGACGTGATAAGGGGCCATATCAAATGCAATGATTATTATATTATAATAAATATGTTTCAGAGAACCAGTGTAGGCACAATGGACTGAAAGCTGAAAATTTCTATGGTTTCATTTTATTCTCTGAAGGCATCTTGTATTTCTCTTTAGAGGATTCTGGCTGCCACATTGCTGATCTCTAACTTGAAGCAAATGCAATGTGAAGGAGTTTCTGTTTTATTTCCAGTTCTGCAACCTTCCTTCCTCCCCCATCCCTTAACTGCCCCCAAATATATAGCCAATCCACTTTGCAATATATTACGTGAAGCGCTGTGAGACGTCTTGAAGACGTGATAAGGTATATTGGAGTATTTAGCATATTGGTTGAAGCACGTGCCTCGCAAGCGAGAGGACCCGGGTTTGATTCCCAAATGGGGTGAAACATTAGGCAAGTTTCCTTACTCCGCACGCCGCAGTAAGTAGGAACCCGGTTGTTAGTCGATTGGTTGCTGAGTTTCGCCCACAAAATATACAGTCAATTCACTTTACAGTGTATCCTGTGAAGTGCTTTGAGATGTTTTGAGGCGTTATATCAAATGGAAGGATTATTATTATTATATACTCGGTGTAAATCCGCCACGCAGTGTAAAAGGCTCTCACCCAGTGTGACACTGAAATGAAGGAGATAGCGACTGAACTTGTGAACCATTGGAGGTTGGTTGCAAGTTACTCTGTGATTAATTCATTGTAATATCTTCTGTAGGTAGTTCTCCATTAACCTATTCCACGTCAACTCACACTGACCAGCCCGCACGCCTCCCAGCCAAAGAAGGTGGGTTCAATTTCCTTCTGTTAAAACCACCTAAAGCGGGTTTGGTGAATGATAGTCAATCTGGGTCATTTATTCACTGAGTGGGATCTTGTTAATTTATCTGATGAAGCCAATGCTCAGCACGTGACACACAGGATATCTGTTAAAATAACCTTGCGAGTTAAAAGGGACTTTCCGCAGGATATATTTAACATACAAAGACTCCTTTGATATCTGCTGTGCGTCAGCCTGGCTCAATTGATAGCCGCTCTTGCCTCTGAGTGAGACAATGTGACAACGTGCTCTATCAAATGCAAGGATAATTATTATTCGTGTCGTTGTTATTTAGCCCTGGCTTCAGGTCCAAATTTTTAGTGTTTTATCTACAAAGGACAAGCAAGTCCCAGTGTTGTTGTGTATAATGTGTCGTGCTGGGGGCATGCTTCATTGTCAGAGATCCTGGATATGATGTTAAACCGAGCTCCCGTCCTGTGCCTTGTGGAGTCCTGTAGGCAGTGGTTAGAGCACTTGCCTCGCAAGCCAGTGGACCTGGGTTCGATTCCCAGGCAGGGCGAACCGTGAGTGAAGTTTCCTTACTCCACACACCTCTGTTTACCTAGCAGTACGTAGGAACCCAGTTGTTAGTTGGTTGGCGGATCGCTATTCTGAGGGTAATAATCACTTAAAAAAAAATCAAGGAAAATGCCAGGGTTCTGACCAAACCCACAGCAGAAAGACAGGTTTTCAGTGGGTTTCGAAGGTGGTGAGAGAAGGCACGAGGCTTCTTAGAGAAAGTTGATAATAATAATCCCTACATTTGCTACAGCGTCTTTCATGTCAGGAGGACGTCCTCCCAAAGTGCTTCACAGGATTTGCTGTAAAGAGCAGTGACCGTGTGTTTTGTGGGCAACATTCCCATGAGCGGCAGTAAGTGAGGTGGTTGAAGACTTAACCATTTCAGGGTGGGATGGAGGGAGCGAAGAAACAGTAAACTAGAAGCAAAGAGAAGAGTTTGGGGTGGGATGATGGAGCTGGATGGGGTGTGAGGTGTAATTACAGACAGGCAGAGGGAACTTCCATTATTAGCTGTGCTGTGCTGTACCTGAGCCAGTGAAAGTCTGAGTGTGGTGGTTCATGTGGGACATCCTTCCATTTTCCAGGACAAAGCTTGACGAGGAGAACAGTAGCTGTGTAGCCAACGTGTGTCACAGTTAATGGCTCCTTTTGACAGCCCTGCGATGTTTACACATTCAACCTTCAATTAACTTCACCACCAAATACAATTAAACCTAAACTCAGGAAGTCAGAAAGTTGTGTTCGCAATGAATCTGGAAATAGAAGCAAAGTGGTGTTCACACGCATACACACACTCACGCACACACTCACCGCACACAAACACACCGCAGAGTAAAGTGTATTTTGTGCCAGTCCACTCCAGGGCTGAGGCCTGAAATTCCCCCTAGTCTTAGCCTGTGAGACTATTTTGGCTTAAAATGTTGCAGACGGAGCAGAATCATAGAAAGTGAAAATGAAGAACTTTCCTCGATTCTGTGGGATCCTAAACATTAAGACGAAATTATGAAAAATAATCATAATTTGGTCACCCAATCCACGACTGTTAGTGGGACACTGTGCACAATTGGCTGCCGCGTTTCACCCACAAAATATACAGTCACTACACTTTACAGTATATTCTGTGAACCGCTTTGAGACATTTCGAAGATGTGGTAAGGTGCTGTATCAAATATACATATAGCTGGGATTCACCGGGTCTTACCACAGGCCACGACAACCCACATTGGAAATCAATGCTGATCTACAGACGAGCAGTGGAGATGCTGTGAGTTGAACTGTCGTTCTCTTAACACGAGGGCAAGCTCATCATCATCAGACGCAAATGATTTCCCAGTTCCGTGAGGCTCTGTGCTGGAATGTGTAGCAGTCTGTCCCTCGCCAGGCTACACAGCTCCTTAGGGGCTCGGAGCCAAGTGTATTTAACATTATAATGCAGTAAACAGCCTTAAATATAGTGTCTCTCCCAACAGTTAAACACTGGAATGTGTTCCCACAGGAGACCACACCCTAGCTCCTTAGTTGATGTTTGTACACAAAAAAAACATTTGATTCAGATCATAAACATTTCAAATTTGTCCAGCGGTAAACATTTAAGATTGCGAAGAATTTGTGAAAATCCTTAAATTCGGCTTTAATTTGTTTTAAGAACCACGGAAAAAACGGCTTCCAGAAATTAGGACGGCATACAATACTGTGGGCAGGAGGATTTGGGAAAGGTGGAGGAGGATTGTGGAGTCCAGCAGCTCAGTGGTTATAGCGCTCGCCAAGCAAGTGAGAGGAGCTGGATTTGATTCCCGGCAGGGCAAAACATTGGGCGAGTTTCCTTACTCCACACGCCTCTGTTTAACTAGCATTAAGTAGAAACCCAGTTGTTAGTCGATCAGTGGATCGCTTTCCCGAAGGTAATAATCCCTTGAACAAAAAATAAAGAGAGGAAGGTCCTATTTGTGCTAGAAAATGCAACCTGGGAACACTAATTCTTACCAGTGTTAATCTGGTAAACTCCTGATAATTCGCCACTCCAGGCGAAAGAACTCAGTGACGAGTTATCAGGAGTTGACTGTATTAACATCATTGACAACTCTATGTGTCGATTTCCTATTTTCTCCTTCCCCGCCATGGCTAGGATGATCACTGTACTGGGCCAGTCAATGGGTTACAGGTTTCACTCTGGGTTTATAGTTAATCTGATGTCTCACTCGTCACTGGCAAGTAGAATGGTTGCCACAGGCTGGTGCTTTGAGCTCAGCCTGTGTGTGTGGGTGGGTGGTGGGGCTGTGGGTTTCAATGATGTGATAAGTGACCTGAACATTAGAGTTTTAAATATTAATTAAATAATAATAATAAACTTTGCATTTGATAGTAGACTTTCATGTCAGGAGGATGCCTCCAAGTGCTTCACATGATTTACTGTAAAGCGCAGTGACTGTATGTTTTTAACACACGTGGCTGCCACGTTTGCCTTCAAAATACACAGTCACTACACTTGACCCCAATTCCCCGTGAAGCACTTTGAGATTTTTCAAAGTCACAAATTCTGCATTAAATGCAGTGACTTGTGTATTTCTCTGAACCGAGTGTTTAAACGCAGAATAATATTAACAATAATAATCCTTGCATTTGATACAGCACCTTATCATGTCTCCTAGACGTCTCAAAAGTGCTTCACAGGATACACTGTAAAGTGAATTGACTGAATATTTTGTGGACGAAACGTAGCAGTATAAATATTAGACAGTACTATATAAATATTATAATAATAAGAGAATGGGATAAATATTAACTTTATTGATGGCTGTGAAGTTAAAGGAGAAAAAATAGTTTTTTAAAAGCAGTGAAATTGCGCTTGATTGCAGATTTTTTAAAAAAAAGCTTAAACAAGTAAATAGTCCTGGTTTAGTGTTGTCTTGTGTATGTAGTTGGTTTGCAGGTGCACCTATTGTCAAGAAGGCAGAATACACACTCCACCCACATGCATGTATTCACTGCTTTCTCGCCTCTCTACCTGAATTCTGTCATTGAGCCATCAATATAAAAGGTGCATTAGTCAAACAAAACCTAATCAGACGCCTGGTGCCTCAATGAGGTTGCTGCCTCGCCCACTGGCTGCTATTTGCCCAAGTGTAAGCTGAATAAACACCTCATCAGGCAGAGAGATGGAGCTCATAGAGAGAGAGACTCTGGTTAGCAGTGAGGGACAGGTGGTGCCAGGGACAAAGAGAGGGAAAAGCTGCTTTCAGAGAGAGAGAAAATCCTTAATTATCTCTTTAATTCATAAGAGGTTAGGACTGTGAGTAGGTACCAAGCTGCCATGCTCTCAAACACCAAACGCCTTCAGTAAAGTGGATTGGCTGCCGCGTTTTGCCCACAAAATAGTGTAGATTTGGCTGATAATAATAATAATCTTTGCATTTGACACAGCGCCTTATCACGTCTTCGAGGCATCTCAAAGCACTTTACAGGATACGCTGTAAAGTGAATTGACTGTGTATTTTGTGGGCGAAACGCGGAAGCCAATGGTGCACAAACAGTTGTGGATTGAGTGACCAAATTATTATTTTTTTAAAAAACGTTGAGGGGATTTTCTTGGATCTTAGATTTTAAGACAGAATGTTCCTAGGCCTCAGACCAAGTCTCCCTGGCTCAGTCTCACTCACTCACCCTAGAACCTGATCCAATGAATAAATATATGGGGGACATCCCCACCCTGTGCATGATTTGTGTTGTAAAATCTTGTATTAAATTATCCCAAGTGTAAGGTTCACCCTCAATAAAGCTGTACATTTTATAACTAACATTCCTGCTTTATAGGGGTCAGAAACAGGGGCTGGGGAGCGGAGGGAAAGGCTGCTCTCCTCTCCCTTTGGTTTAGCTGAGAATTCCTTCAAAAAATAAATAAAATAATAATAATGTGGTCACTCAATCCACGGCTGTTTGTGGGACACTGCTGTGTGCAATTGGCTGCCACATTTCGCCCACAAAATACACAGTCAATTCACTTTACAGTATAGTCTGTGAAGCGCTTTGAGACATCTAGAAGATGTGATAAAACATTGTATCAAATTCAAGGATTATTATTATTATTAATTATGTGCCAGGCCAATGGACGGGATGGTTATGCCCCCTCTCCACCCCCCCCAAATCCTGGACGTTCATAAAATCCTGATAATGACCATTACACAGAAAAATAATAATTTGGGGGCGGAAGTTGGGGTCTGTGAGCAGAGAATACCTTGGACAAATTATAGGAAATTTCACCCCATTCCACCCCTCCACACAATCCAACGGTAATAAACCTAAAGTTACATGAGTGCATGCCTGAGGGTGAGACCTTCTGGAGAGAGAGAAAGGGTAGGGAGAGGGGGAGAGAAGGAGGGAGAGAGAGATGAGGAGAGGGGGATGAGGACAGAGAGAGAGAGAGAGAGAGGTGGGGGTGAGATCCTGAAGGAGCCTCATTCCCCACTTTGTTTTGTCTGATTTCAGTGCTTCACCTCCCGAGGCCCAGGGCTGAAAACCCTTTTGCGTTTTTTTTCTCTCCAAAAAAAAATACACACATGAAGCCAGAGAAACAAAGAGAGTCTGTGTGTGTGTGTGTGTGTGTTTCTCTCTGCTCAGGAAACTCGCTCTTTGGGGACCTCAGCCAGTCTGCAGCCCATCCAGACTGACAGCCTCACCCGGACAGATCCCTCTCTGAGCCGCTATTATACTCTCAATTACATGCAACCCGCATTGTTTCTCTTTAATATTACCGGAGAGAGTGTGTGGGGTGGGGGGGGGGAGAGAGGAGGAGAAAGGGGGGGGAGAGAGAGAGTGGGGGGAAAAAGGGGTTGAGAGAGGGAGAAAGGTGGAGAGAGAGGGGACGGGGAGTGAGAAAGAGGGGGCAAGTGAGATCTGAAGAGTTTCTGAGATTTAGTTTATGTTTTTTCTCTAAAAGTCATTCAATTTGTCCCATTTTGTACACAAACATAAACAGTTACAATTCGACTTGGGAGGGGTGGCTGAAAAGGACCACAAATGAGATTTAAAAACGCACACACGCACAAACACATTGCCACTGATCTTTCTCCGGGCCAAGTTGATCAGTTTATTGGTTTAAAATGTGGGTCAAATGTGTCCAGAGATGGGACAATGCAATATCTGCATTGGGAACCTCTGTACAGTGTCTGAACAATCCAAACAAAGTCATTTCCTGGTCGCTGTTTGTGTGTCAATTATTCTCAGGACAAAATAATCACTTTAAAGTCAACATATTCCAAACCTTTCTAACGAAAAGATTTGATATAAGTTGCGTGTTTTATATAAGTTACAGGCAGAATATTTCTCTCCCTCCTTCCCTCCCTCTCCAAGCCAATTCATGCCAATATTTTCTAACATTTTTTAATGAACGTGTATGAGTGAGTGAGTGGGTGAGTGAGTGAGGAGAGAGGGAGAGTTTGTTTCAGAACGATTTGAAATACATTCCTCTCTTTTAATTTATACACAAGACGTAAAACCTTTTTTTTTAATGTGAAAAAAAAACCGAAACCTTCTCTGAAACATACGAAAATAATTTTGTCCAAATCTCACGTGTTAAACCCTATCCCAACCCAACAAACGCTCTCAGTGTCTTGAGATCAAATCGCAGGGTTCTGAGTCAAGCGACAGAGAGCCAGGCTGGGCTTAGCCTCGCCAGCGAATGCTCTGGTTTTATTAACACATATTTTTCAGCCCTTTTTTGTCAGACAGCAGACAGACAGACCGACCCCTTGAGTGTCTCAATTACCCCCCAAACGCAAAAAAGCCTTTTTTGTAAAAAAAACACGTCTGGAAAAATAAAAATCACATACATTGACTGTATGTAGTCATAAAAAAAAAACAGTTTGGTTTAGTGTGAGTGTGAAAGGACGTCGGGACATTAACCTCCAGTCTTTTCGCCCACAAAATACACAGTCAATTCACTTTACAGTGTATCCCGTGAAGCGCTTTGAGACGCCTCAAGGATGTGATAAGGCACTGTATCAAATTCAAGGATTATTATTACTAGGACTTCTCTTTCAGGAGGGGTGGGGGATAACTTTACTGCAGAGAAATATATTGATTCTTTCTGTTTAATATTACAAGAAATATATGTATATATTTTAAAATTAGAATAAAATATTATCCTCCCTCCCAGACACACACATCCATATTAAAATATATTTTTCCTCATTTCCACCTGGACCAAAACCTGTAAATTACCATCTGATACTGAAAATAAATGGTTCGCAAGAAAAGTATTCGCTAATGTGTCCCAAAGCGCATTCTAAAGCTTTTGTTTTGCTAAAAGTCTAACTTTTTTTTTTTAAAAATCGCGGTTCAAAGTTTCAAACGGAACATCTTAAATGTCTGGAACTTTATCCCCTTCAAATGTGTTTCTAATCTGCAGAGTTTGCTTTGAGTCCTCTCTCTCCGGCGCTAAATAGCGAACGCGTTGCGAGAGGTGGGAGGTGCAGTTTGGAGAGCGGTCACCAGAGGGTGACAAAGAACCGGAGAGGGAACACAAGAGGGAGGAGGACAAATTCTACCCGAGTCCAGACTTGCACTGTTGTGTGTCTGTCTGGCTCCGTCAGTGGCACTCTCCCCTCGGAGACCAAAGGATGTGGCTCCAAGCCCCATGTCGGGACTTTGAACCCATTTAGTCTTAAGTGCAGAGCCGGGGGCGGGTGTTGCATTGTCGGAGGTGCCGTTCTTCAGATTAGACGATAGGTGTTCGTTCAAGATCCCGCGGCACTATCCGAGAAGAGAAGGGAGTTCCTCTCTCCTGGTGTCCTGGCCGACAATCCCCCCAAATAAAATTAGTCACTCAGTCCGTGGCTGTTTGCAGGACATTGCTGTGCGCCAATTGACTGGGAGCAATGTGACTGGTTCCCCATGGTTTGGGTGGCGGGGGGTGGGGGGGAGGGCTTGAGGAACAATTGTATTTGAGTTAGTTTCGAAGAGTTTATTGTTAAGCAGATACGTTAAATGTTAAATAAGATACTCTGTGCACGAGAGAAAGTGAACGGACAACAATACTTTCAGATACTCTAGTTAGCAGGATCAGAGAACACAGGTTCAGGGATGTGAAGGGTAAGTTTAGGACAGACACCAGGAAGTGTTTCTTTACACAGAAGCTCGGGAGCAGCTGGAATGGGTTAGCAGGACAGTAATTGAGGCCAGAATACCAGTATTTATGAAACAGCTTGACACTGTAATGGAAAGAGAAGTGAGTTGTTATTCTGGGCAGATGAGATGAAATGGACTGAAGAGGTTTCAGATGATTCAGAGCCTTTCACGTGATTTCCACCCCTCGGCCCCCCCACGAGGAATGACTTGAGTAAATGGTTATAAAACACCAATGATGCCATGTTAGGGTTCGGTCTTGTTCAGTGACACATGACTGAGCAATGAGAGAATGACACATTGCTCACACTCACGCCAGCCATTCTATGTGAGCCTAACACAGTAAGCCTCACATTAGTCCTATCAGTTGGGACCAGATATTTAATATGACGTCTGCAAAGTATGAGTTGCACCAAAATAGCATAGAATATAAACTCTTGAATGAAACTTGGGGCAGATGTACGACTTAGGTGATTTATAGAGATTGGACTTCTGTGGATTTTACTGTACAAAACTAACACAACACTGTGGGAGTTGGGGGCGGGGGGGGGGGGTTTCCTGTCTTGGGATGTGGGTGACCTTGGTATTTTGCCAGTGTTTATTGCCCGTCACCCCGAGAAACTGCCGGTAGAACCTTCCCTTTAAGCCCGCTGCTAGCCTAATAGTGAAGGATTGCCCACCATCTTGTTGGGTAGTGGAGTGCAAGGAGCCTGACCAGCATAGAGCTGGTATCCTTTTATGATCGAGTGTGGGAGGGGGGAGAGGGACAAAGAGTGAGAGGAGAGAGAACAGGGTCATTTCCTTCTGGTTTGCTTCAAAGCATTCCCTTCTCCCCAAAGAATATCGCAAAAGAAAGTTCATCATTCCGCTGGTATTTGTCAGAAATCCCCCTGAGAAGCCGTCGTTCCCAGTGGCTATGACTCCGACTGTTTATCACGGTTTGCCCTCATCCTCCCCGAGCAGACTGGGAGCCGGAGAGGGGGTTGACACTGACAGTTCCCGAGGGGGGTGGGGGGTAAACTGAGAACTGAGGTTAGAACAGGAAAATCATCTCTCTTCCCCCCCTCCTCCCCCCAACACACACACACACACAGCTCACTCTCTCTCTTCATTTTCAGATCCTTCCTACGACAGCAGTAGACGGTCTGCGTGGGGTGGTAATATGAGCCATGTGACTAAACGTAAGTAACCTGACCCCTGAACTCTCGCCCTAAACCACAGGACAGCGTTCCCCGGAGTGAGGCCATTCCTAGCTACAGTCCCGCTTTATTGCGTCTCCTCCTCCATCCCTTCCTGCCCTTCAGTCGGATAGAAACATAACACACGTGAATAGGATTTATTACTCAAACAACTATAAAGAACCCAATGGTTTTTCTTTCCTACCCTTCTAACCAACCCCCCCACCCCGCCCCCTGGTGTTTAGACTGATATTGGGGTCCAACATTGAAGCAATTCCTTAATAAGGATTCCCGACGCGATCTGCTCCCAGTCACCGGATTACAGTATTCCATTCCAACCCACGGAAGCTTCCCTCCAGAAGCAAGGATTTTGCTTTGCTGTGCACACACTGGTTGCCAAGGTCACGTACAAACACGCACACACAGTCACTACACTGGACAGTAATTACCGTGAAGCGCTTTTGAAGAGGCGTTGCGATGCTATGGGCTCTGCTTTCAATGCAAGGATTATTACTAATAATTACTACAGGGCTTTAGGACGTCCTCCTGGCTTGGCGGGCGCTTTACAAATGTAATTTATTGTCGTCGTCGTTGTTGTGACAGTAGATTTCCTGTGGGTTGAATTGACGAGATTCCAGGTTTGTAATGAAGGAATTATTATTATTATTATCCCGTTAGAACTCGCGGGGCTTTGGATTCCTTTTCAAAGGAAAGGGACTGGGAGTGTGTAGTTGTGTGAGGATGAATGTGAGAGGGTTCCAGCCATTGACAGACAGACCAGTGTCACTGGGAAACATTGGAGAGATCGGGTTATTACGGATCATGTTTCATCTCTTTCTCGTGTGTTAACATCTGGAACGTGGCATCAGGAAAAGGTGGCTGAAGCCAGGAAAGAAACTGGGCTCATAGAATTGCATGGGATCATAGAGGATGGAGCCAAGTGTAATGGCCTTGTGCAAATCTCTGAATTCATCTCTTTTCAGCATCTCCTGGAGCCTCTCAGAGTGCGAACAAGAGCACGGAGCAGTCTCGCACCCAACCAGGTAACAAGACACAGAGAGCTGGTGGGGGGGGTGGGGGGGGCATTCAGTTGATCGGCAGCTCGCTTTCTGGGGTAATAATCCCTCCCCCTCCAAACAATGTGGTCAGTCAATCCAGGAGAGTTTGTGGGGACGCTGCTGTGTGTAATTGGCTGCTGTGTTTCGCCCATACATTACACCAGTCACTCCATTTTACAGTATATCCTGTGAAGCACTTTGTGACGATTCAACAACATAATAAGGCGCTGTATCAAATGGAGGGATTATTATTATTAGAGACAGGAGATGACGTACAGATGGGAATCAATAGGCTGTAGGATATTTACTCCAATGGTCAGCCTTTATCTTTCTCCTCTCCCCCATCGCCCCCTCCTCTCTAAAGGCAGTGACATTTACATTGGATTGTGTTCCTGTGGCCCCGACCCCCCCAGTACATGACTCAAGTGACCATTCTTTGTGGACATGGAGGGTCTCAGACCCCAGCCAAGGTCACTGGTCTCTAATGTTCTTTCTCGTAATCTCAGCAACAGTTTGATGGCCTAAAAATGCCGTGATGTTTGGGTTTAGGGTTTAAAAGTCCAGACTCAGGCTTTAATTACCCGCGAGAGTAATTTTTGTCCAATTAGTCCAGTCACCCAGCCTTTCCTCTATAACTCACCGTGTGAGCTGGTCAGCGAAAGGTCTTTTATAGCCTTTAACCCATTAAAACACTTTACAAATCACTGGAAGTAGTAGCCATCCATTTGCACCAGCAAAGTCACACGCGCACACATATAGACACTCAGTTTATTGCCAGTTTATCTGGGGATTGTCAGCCAGCACACCAGGAGAGAGAAACTCCCTTCTCTTTTCCAATAGCGCCACAGGATCTTTAAAGCCCACCTGAACAGGCACAGACGGGCCCCAGGTTTAACATCCTAGAGCATCAGCCTGGACGATGAGCTTTAAGTCCAACACTTGCTGTGCGCAATTGGCTGTCGTGTTTCGCCCACAAAACACAGAGTCAATCCACTTTACAGTATATTCCGTGAAGCGATTTGAGACGTCTCACCAACGTGATAAGGCGCTGTATCAAATACAAGGATTCACATTATTATTATTATTGAACCCAAAATCTTCAGCCCCAGAGGCGGGAGTAACACCGACACAACAACAACATGACATTTATCGAGCGCCTTTCACGTCGGGAAGACATCCCAAAGCGCTGAACAGTCAGGTGTAGGGGCTCGAGCATGGGGGAGGGGTGAGGGAAGGCAGAGAGGTGGGAGGGTGACTGAAGGCACGATCGAAGAGGAGGGCCTTGAGACCGGTCTTGAAGGAGGCGAGGGAGAAAGGACTGTGGAGTGGAGTTCCAGAGTGTGGGGGCAGACACTGTCCAATCATTGAACACAACCTTTCCTTGGTTTCAGATCCTTACCAGATCCTGGGACCCACAAGCAGCCGTCTTGCCAACCCAGGTAAGAAGGGTCAGTGACCTCCTTGTGTGCTCTGTTCACAGTCGTCTCTTGCTTGCCAAGCTTTCAATTTTTCTTTTAATTTTCAGCAGATAAATATTGCGGGTTTATTTCTTTTATTCACCATCCCCCCACCCCCCGCAATTTTTAGTGATCTTTTCGACCATAAAAACGTTCGGCTCGGCTTCCAAGTACCAAGTTAGCGGCCGCAAGAGTTGCTCTCTACGCGCTGGATTGGGCGTATAGACACGCGTACGATTAAACACAGGAAGTGACATCAGCCACCTCCTGTGTTTAATCCACTTCCTTTGATCGTCCATGACGACTTTACGATCATGAACAGGCGACCATTTTGGTCAGTTCAAAACGGGTGAAAGAAAAGACACAAAGATTTCCGCCCCACAATCGCTGATGGGAATGAATTTTCCTCGATTTGGAAAACCGGATAAATACAGATTTTTAACTGACTTTGAAAATTGAAAACTAACGAGCCTAAAAGGGCAAAGGTTGATCCCATAAACTATGTCAAGGCCAGAACATCTCACCAATTGGCCCAAGAATAAAGAGCTTTGGGAATACTGGTAGATTTCTTTCATTTTATTAGTTAACTACTTTTCTCTGCTGTACTTTGGTATTTCTGAAAGTGGCTTTACAGATGTGTGTTAACAAGGAAGGGAACCCATGTTTTGAAAGCTACAAAGAACACTATGTGCTCCAGAGTTTGTTTTCACTCCAATCAGGGGGGAGTTTAGTCAGCTCAGAGCAGTAGATCGCAATGTGTGTGATCTCCACGTTACAGTTGAGAGTAGGACATTACAGAGTAAAGATAAGGGAATGTTCAATGTTAACAGTCGCGTGTGTGAGAGTACACTATAACCCCATTATTTATGTGGGTTCACTTATAGCATGATTCGGGGTGTGGATCCCTGACATTTACTTGTCCCCCCCCCCCCCCCCGCAAATTCCCTAATGCCTTGGAGGTTTCGTTAGTATTTCTCTGACCCGGGGAAAGCCAAAATGGTCATCGAGTTAATGGCAACTTCACTTCCTACGTGTTTGGCCATTTAGGAGGGGAACACGAGATGGGAGTCCTGGTCCTGGAGTCTCTTCAGCGCCCTCTAATGGCTGTGTGCATGCATGGCACGCCCTCGGCTTCACACACACACACTCACCCCCCAATCCCCTCAAGGACATGATAAGGCGTTACATCAAACACAAGGATTATTATTGTAGGTGAAAACCGCTGTGTTAGTGCGGGTTAGGATCGCAGATTCTCACAGCACAGAAGGAGGCCATTCGGCCCATCACACCTGTACCGGCTATTTGAAAGAGCCACCCAACTGGTCGGTGGTGTGATGTAACCCAACGTTATCGTTGCTGCTGAGGTTCATGTTATTGTTGTTGATGTTGTTGCTGTGGGACGGGGGAGTGACACAGAGTGTTTGCTGCAAGCTGACCCCTCGCTCCTGGTTTCCCTGCAGGAAGCGGTCAGATCCAGCTGTGGCAGTTCCTGCTCGAGCTGCTGTCAGACAGCTCCAACGCCAGCTGCATCACATGGGAGGGGACCAACGGGGAGTTCAAGATGACAGACCCTGACGAGGTGGCCCGTCGCTGGGGCGAGAGGAAGAGCAAACCCAACATGAACTACGACAAGCTGAGCCGAGCTCTGCGCTATTACTACGACAAGAACATCATGACCAAGGTCCATGGCAAGCGCTACGCCTACAAGTTTGACTTTCACGGCATTGCCCAGGCCCTGCAGCCTCACCCCACAGAGTCGCCCATGTACAAATATCCATCAGACCTCTCCTACATGACCTCTTACCACGCACACCCGCAGAAGATGAACTTTGTGTCTCCACACCCGACCAGCATGCCGGTCACCTCCTCCAGCTTCTTCGGGGCAGCCTCGCCCTATTGGAGTTCTCCCACCCCAGGCATCTACTCCAACCCCAGTGTCCCTCGCCACCCCAACACCCATGTCCCCTCTCACCTGGGCAGCTATTACTAGCCTCGGATCTCCCTCCTGCTTGTGATTTTATGTGGACCCCAAAACCCAGGCTAGGCCCCTAGGGACCCTGGAATATCGGGTGGCCTCGGAACTTTAGTGAACACTACATCTAATTCTCAAACTGGATTTTTGCCCATTCCTCGATCGCTGACTTTGGGGATGGAAACGATGCGATCTCTAACCTTCTCCGTCTGCTAACCTATAGCCAGAGTGGATTATCGACCGGTCTTGAAACTCTGAATCGTGTGAGCTTATAACTAACCTGGTAGAACCTGGTCAACAAGAAGCCTTCTCCCTGAGGGTGGAGGGGGCGGGAGGCGAGAACAAGCTTTAAACCCATCGAAGGCTCTTCAGTCAACCATTGACTTTGGCCAATGGTGGAAGGTGGCTCCTCGTATCAGTTACCAACACTGCAATCGTGAAGCAGTTACCTACATCCTAACCAGCAACATATTAACCAAACCACATATTTAAATGGCTGTGGAATCCGTAACATATTCTCAGACTGTAGGAGGTTACCGTGGACCATTTGATGTCACCTTTTTACCCCAGCTCTCGATTCCACAGGAGAGACTGTGCTGAGGTTCTCTATTCCGTAAGGAGCTCTCAATAAGGAGTGTCCTCCTCAGTGGAATGAACCGACTGAGGGTTGGGACTAATTGACCGAAAGATGACGTCCTGAAGGAAAGACTGTCGCCACATCGAACTGTATCTTATCCTTAAGGAAATACTAAAAAAAAAGCCAATTAGATGACACAGGATTCGCAAACGCTGTGCGTTTGTAAGAACTCAACATTGGATCAACCACGCGTCCTTGTATGAAAAGCAACTTACTGTATAAATTATGCAGAAAAAAATTTTTTTTTCCTTTGACAGTATATTACGAGTTGACCTCGGTCACCAATGCAGGTTTTTTTTAAACTATCAAATCCATTTTGACGAAATATAGTCATTTTGTAGCTCGTGAAACGTTTATCTGTACATTTGGGCTCTAGCTTTCTACTGACTAAAGGGATGCGTAGTGAAGTCGTTGTTGAGAAAATGTTTTTATAAAGTCTTACGTATGACGGAGGCACTGAACAGCTATTTCCTATAAATTGCAAAGAGCTGCAAGTGAATTTTATTTTGTTTCCCCCTCCCCTCCCCTGTGTCTTTAGGTAGTTAGTTGCTTTTTGAACTGTTTTTTTTAAGGTAGCTTTTTCTTTTGTTGTTGTTTAAATAATCACTCACACGATCTCCCCCATTAAAATGAGGGCGTCGCCTAACTATTATATGCAATTAGTTCTTTGATAACTATGTTAACTTTGCAAAAAAAAATAATCCTTTGCAGCATATTAAGTATTAAAACCAAAACACATAACAGGAGGATTTTAACCTCTGACACCACAATAAACTGTTGCCATAGACAGCTGGATCTATTGTTACGTACCTGTATTTTTTTTAATGTGGAAAAAGAACTGTGTACAAGTGAAGCAATGGCGTGTATGACAGTCTCTCACACTATGCAACATTTTCAATAAATTGCACCCACGGGGAGTGCCTTAATGACTCGCTGGCATGTGCAGACTCCTGTAACTTGTCAAACGCTCCCATGTTAATCGCTTATTCTGGGGAACGGTCTGCCTGGACACTGGAGAGGACGACATTCACTTCTCCTTCCAAACACCCCTTTCTCCTGTTCGTCCCTCGCCCCCCACTCCCCCCCCCCTCAACCTTCAGCCACTACCTCCCCCCCACCCACCACCAAAGCTCTGGAACTACGCGTGTGAATGGCGCTGTAATAAATGGCGCTGTAAATAAAGTTGTTGTTATTGTTGAGAAGGCAGGAGAATGGGAGAAGGTTCTGGGAGACAGCCCAGGAATGAAATCTACACGTGTTGTAAATTTCCACAAATTCGCCACATTTCATGTCTCTCTCCCTCTCTCTGTCTTGAACGACAGGAACTTTTAAGAGTTTTTTTTTATCATCACAAGTGCTTTAAAAGTAATATCAAATGTAATGACAGCGTTTCTCGGCAACCAAGCGGCCAATTTGTGGGCAGCGAGATCCCATAAGCAGCCATGAGATGATCAATAATTAATTTAATTGGATTTGATACAGTGCCTTACTGTGTCATTGCAACGTCTCAAAGCGCTTCACAGGATATATTATAAAGTGCAGCGACTTATATTTTGTGGGCAGCTAATTGCACACAGCAGTGTCCCATACACAGTCGTGGATTAAGTGACCAATTATTGTTAATCATTTTAATAATCTTTAAAAATCAAAGTTCATCCCCGATTTCACAGCCCAGTAACACAAAGGGCAAACGTGTCTTACAACTGAAATAACAAGCGTGTCCGCTGTGTTTTCACCAGTTTTATTCTGCAGCAATGTGTTTCCTGTTTTTGTGCCTGTGTGTCGGAGAATGGCCTCACACGCCATTGTTATCGTGCAGGAGAGACATCCTGAGCAATCCTGTCACTCAGGAGTGAATTACAGCTTCCCCTGCCACACAGGCCGCTGGTGATAAACAGCCCCAAGCTTTACCGTCTGTATGAGGGTTTTTCACGAGAATCAGTATGAGGGGAGCGCGGTGAGCGTTTTACAGTGGGGGGTGTATGACAGTGTTACAATAAGGGGTACCCCCTGCAGTTCCCATCGTCCCTACAACATAGAGATCATCAGGAGACACTTTGCAGAGGTTTGCACAGTTGTGTGGTGTTGCGATATTCTTGTGCAATGCCGTGGCACTGGTTAGTAATAGTGGGAAACATTCTGTTTGCTGTTGATCCCAGCACAGCATCACAAGGCTTGCTGCCATCAACATTCCCAATTAGTTACATCACAGACAATCCCAAACACCCACATCACGTCCCACTGCGACTGTCTACAATTCCAATAAATCCATTCACTCCCAATGTATTCTGTACAGCAATCTTGCCTCTGTGTCACACAAGGCTGAGGGGTCCAACCACACACAATGGGGACACAGAGCTCACAGTCAAGACTGACATAGAAACATACGAACAAGTGTAGGCCATTCAGTCCCTTGAGCCTGTTCTACCATTCTTTAAGATCATGGCTGATCAACTCCAGTTACCCGCCTTTGCCCCATATCCCTTGAGATTTCCCAACTAACAAACGTCTGTCCACCTCAGTCTTGAAACTGTGAGTGGATCCAGCATCCACAGCCTTTTGGGGGAGAGAGTTCCAGATTTCCACGTTCCGGTGCAGTGCTGGGGGGAGAGAGTGCCGCATTGTCAGAGATGAGACATCAAACCAAGTTTCCGGACGTCTGTGCCTGTTGGGATTGGACGTTAACGATTCCAGGTCACGATTTGAACAGAGCAAAGATTTTCTCTCTCCCGGTGTCCTGGCCGACAATCCCCGGATCTTCGTGAACCCGAAACGTTGAACCGCTTTCCTCTCTCCGTAGATGCTGCCTGACCCGCTGAGCGTTCCCAGCGACGTCCGTTTTCGTTGACAGATTTCCGGCATCTGCAGCATCTTTGCGTTCTGACCCCCACAGACACAATCGATCATTCACTTTCCCGGCTGTCTGTGGGATGCTGCTGGGCACGAATTGGCTGCACCTGGGGTGATCTATAAGGAGGTACCTGAGCAGGACCAGGACTGATATTTGTATCGGGCCACATCCACAGGCCTCCATGTCCTTCTGCCTAAGAGACACCATTGGCATCTCAGTGGATACAGAGCAGAGCTCCAGACACAGAGCTTTCTGTAGTGCAACATCGCCCTCATGTGGAGATACAGATAACTGCAGGTGGATTTACAGCCCACTGTTAGTTCCCAACAGAGCTGTGAGTGAGGGAAGGTGTCTGATTGTAACGGCTGGTTATTCAATGAACTGATTTATTTCACATCTGACCACATCTGTTTAATTTTGCTTGTTGAAAGCTGGAACATTGCACTTATCTATTTCCAAGTTAATCCGCTTCAACAGTATGTCCCGTGAAAAGCTCTGAGACGTCTCAGCAAAGTGATAAAGGCGCTATATCAAATGCAAGGATTATTATTATTATTATTAATGATAGGCTTCTGGGCTGGCTGGGCAACCCTTACGGACTACCTGTTGAGAATGATTACCCGGGCATTCACGTTATTAAAGGTGGTGTTAGAATTATGTATAAAGGCGGTGCTCACAGCGGGTCTCAAATTTCAACATAAATATAACGTGGCAGTAAATGTGGGTGAAATTGAGGTGAAATCACAGCAGAGAGCCATGCGATACAACAGTGAGGAAGTGATGATGAATCTGTATGGACTGGAGCTGGAATATTGTGTGTAGATTTGGGATTATGCATTATATATAGGAAGGACAGGAGAGCGATGGTGAGGGTAGGGGGGTGGGGTGGGGGCAGCGCATGTTTGGGAGGATGATACCGGAGATGAAAGGATTTAGCTGTGAGGACAGGCTGGTTCCTGTTGCGGGGAAGAAGGTTGAGGGGTGATGTGATCCAGGTGTTTCAGACAATAAAAGGGTTTGAGAGAATTTATTGTGAGAAACTCTTTCCGTTGGCCTGGAATTCGAGAACGGGGGTGGGGTGTGGGGGTGGGAGGGATGAATTCAAGATGGTGACTCGGGGAGAACTGGGCTGAATAACCTCCTACAATCCCTCAGTTACCTGCTGCTTCTAATATAATACAATACAAAATGACATTTGTTTGGTGCCTTTCACATCTGGTGGACGTCCCAAGGTGCTGGAAAACCCTTTTCCAACCCTCTCTCTTCCAGCCGGGTGTCTGACACGCATGGAAACCCACCACACACGCCTAAGTGTCTCCAACCCAAACTACTACAGTGAGAGTCCCACATTATGTATAAAAGTTTCCCTGTGCCTGGCAATGGAGTGCGCTCATGCGCTCTCTCTCTCTCCCCCAGAGGAACGTACCCAGCTCAGCTGCAGGTTGGCGAGAACCAAGACTTGGGGGGATACCCCAGAGCATGTGTGGGAGGGAGGGGAGGGTGGGGCAGCTGCTGGAGTGTAACCAGCTAACACAGAACATACGGCTTGCCATTGTGAACACTGGGAAGCTGGGCTGAGCTTCGATCATCTCCTCCATTATGGCTTTCCCTGTCTCACAGGGATAACAGCAGAGAGTGGATGGAATCCCAGCTCCCAGCAAATCCTTGAGGAACACAGAGAATAATAATAATAATAATCCTTGCATTTGATATAGCGCTTTTCACGTCGGGAGGACATCCCAAAGCACTTCACAGAATATACTGTAAAGTGAATTGACTGTATATTTGTGGGCGAACGCGGCAGCCAATTGCGCACAGCAATGTCCCACAAACAGTCGTGATTGAAAATGACCAATTTATTATTGTTTTTGGTTTTGGAGGGATTATTATTAGGCTCTGTGTGGAGTAAGGAAACTTGCCCGAGGTTTGGCCCTCTGCCTGGAATTGAACTCAGGTCTCTCACTTGCAAAGCGAGTGCTCTAACCACTGAGCTACAGGACTCCAGACAGGCTTGGGGGGCAATCCTGGCTCCCACACCAGGACGACAAAAAGATTGTTTGTAATTTTTCATGGATGGATGGCTTATTGGAGGCTTGTGACTGGAGATGTTCCCTGCGGAATGAACCTAATGGTGTGCTGTTCTGTGAACAGAACAACTATTTTCCCACTGTGCTGTAGGACTGTGCAATCACAGGTGCATGGCTGTAATACACCAGGGACAATGGAATCTCCCCATCGTTGCATCCTGTGCCAAGCAACTTTGTGAGCTTCTACCTCATTAACTGGCGGGCAGCCAGGGGCTCCTGTGTATCTCGCTGGATCTCTGCCTGCTCGCTCCACAGCTCTCCCTGCATCTCAAATCGAGAAACAAAGGCCACAGCCTTCGCTGGCAGAGAACTTGCAGCATCCTGAAACAACCCCACATCCTGTTTCCTGGTCACACGGACGGACAGGGAGCCTGAGCTCAGAAAGGGGAACGCTCAGTGTTTGCAGCACTAACTTATCATCATAATAATAATAATCATCGCCTTTCATACAGTGCCTTTCATGTCAGCCTTGACAGATTGGTAGGGGGTTAGGAGGTCACAGAGGCGTGTGAAGTAAGGAAACTTGCCTAAGGTTTTACCCCACCTGGGAATCGAACCCATGTCCTCTCGCTTGCAAGGCGAGGGCTCCAACCACACTACAGAACTCCACGAACAGAGGGAACTGTGTGCAAGAAAAAAATTATTAAATAGCGATTAAGAACTCAAACTTCAAGGTCATTCAGTAAACACAACAAAGTAAACTGAAATTCAATGCAAACTGCTTAATTTAAAGATCACAAGTGTCGTTAGAAAGTCCTCATGATAAACATAAACCAAAGCTTGGCAAACACTTCACCTGACAAATCAAACCTTTTAAAAAATACTGCCATTTTATTAAGACCATGATTATTTTTTACAACCAAAAAAATATTTTAAATATTTTAACCTAAAATATGTCAGGTATTTACACACGGTTTAATTTGTTCACAGGCGTGTTGATTGAGAAACACCATACTATGGACCCTATAATAAGGGAACCACTCGTGCATTTTATAGGAATATTTAAATTTCATAATCAATAATTACAACCTTGAAAGTGCCATTTATGTGCAAATTGATATAGGTCAGAAGGGACAGTGTCCCAGAGCACTTGACAATAGCGGAATCTGACACCCACAATCTGGCCTCACAGACGTAGATCTTACATCAGTCTCTGAGTGGAGAGAGAACCTGAGACAAATCCTGGTAACTGCAGGATTCGCCAATTACCCCTCAATTTACAAAATATCTTGAATTCCGGAGTTGAGGTACAGATCAGCCATGATCTTACAACATGGCGGAACAGGCTTGAGGGGCTGAATTGCCTGTTCCTATGTTCACGGAGCAGATGAAGTCCTGATCAAAGCCTTATAGTCACAGCTTTAGATCTCACACCCTGACCTGAGCTAACAGGAGTCCTGTGTTCATTCCTGGCTGAAGACCACACTTCGCTTTTCTTATACCTAGAAATGTCACAAGGTTATCTCTGAATCTGAAGAGTTATTCATATTCACCCTCACCCCCGCCCCCCCCTCCCCACCCGCGCCCCCAACCCCACACTGACTTATGCTGAGCACGTTTGGAAACAAAAAGTCTGCTCTCGTTAAGGAGGGGCGCTGGTGAGGAAACGCGAAATCCTCTTCACATTTTGGTTTCATTCACCTCGGTCACCTGATAGGCTGGGTTGTCGTAGGCTTTGTGCTGGGTGACCTTAGCGTCCCTTTCATTCTGCAGACAGTACGCACAGTGAGGGGTGTCCACTTGTATAGTTTTGCTGAAGTTGGAGAAATCTACTCTGTATTTCCCTTCTTTGGATTTAGAGATGATGGGAGCGAACCTGTAGCCCCAAAATATTTCTTCTGGGATGTAAGAGGTTCTCACCTGGCAGGTGGCACTGGTGGCTTCAATGGTGCCATCCAAGAAAACCACCAACTCAAAGTCTTGTTGGTTGATGGTCTCTGATGACATGTCGTAAAAGGGACTGGACTTGTCGATGATGTGGTAGATGGTGAGAGGAGAGATAAAGAACAAATTCTCGTTCCCAGCGTCCACCACAAAGTCGATGTTGACCTGGTCCAATATGATAGTCTCCCCCTCCAGAGTCACGGTGGTTTTCAGGAGTTTTCCGTAGATGTGGCTTCCAATCAGGAGGCTTTTCCTGAGGTTGGCCACTCGAATAACCAGGCAGAGTTTGCCCCCACGCTTGCTGATGACCCCGATCTTGCTAAATGTTATGGTTTTGGCTCTCTTCTTTGGCCTGGAGATCTTGGCCAGGATGGCACCGCACATGAAGGAGTTAATGATAACCCCGAGGATGGACTGGGTGACCAGCAGGAAGATGGCCTCCCCACACTCTTCCGTCACACACCTAAACCCATAGCCGATCGTCACCTGGGTCTCCAGCGAGAAAAGGAATGCGGATGTCAGTCCATTGATATTCTGCACACAAGGGTTGTGGTTCTCGTTGGGTTTAAATTCAGGGAGATCCTTGTGCATGTAGGCAACCGCGTACCACAGCAAGCCGAAGAGAAACCAGCTGCCCAGGAAGGCTGAGATAAAGATGGCCATTTTGTACCTCCACTTCAGATCCAGGACAGTTGTCCAAATGTCCACCAGGAAAGCCAGCCTCGATTCGTCATCCACATTCCCAAACTCTATGTTGCATCTCCCATCTTTGGACACCAGCCGGGCCCTCCTACGGTTGCGACCTGTGAGGCTCCTGGTGAATCTCTTGCGAAGATATTTGAACATTCCTCAGCCAAAATTCCTGAGCCTGAGGAGACAATGGCAATAATCACATTGAAACCCATTAGTTACCCTTCAGCGAGTTCTCAGGAAAGGAAGAAAAACATTTCGGTCGGAAAACTCAACCACGAATTGGACTTTCTCATGTCTCCCACAATTAAATATTTATTTGTATTTGGCTTCAGTTTGAATTGAATCTCATGGGACAGTGAACTGAAACAAAGTAAGAGAGTTAGAGGAAGTATTTTGTGCCTTGGCAAGTTACATATTGCTGCCAATCAGACAAACCTTTGTTAATTTTCTAACCCCCTGTCAAAGCTAAGTGAAGTTGTCTGGTTAAAGAGTACGGGTCTTAAACAACAGCTGAAACCTGCTGAGCACTGGATATGAAGGTTACACACACAAAGGTAAGCAAATAAAAATCCAACATTCTTATAACCGCAATCCTGAAACTGCTCTCTCCTCGTCAACACTTCCTACTGAAGGGTGAACATAACAACACAAGAATTTGCTAGAAGAAAGAAGACCAAGACCATCCAGTTCACCTTCCACCATCCTGCCAGTTGCTTGCACACATCATATCCCAAACTATATACTATATCCCTAGATATTATTTCCTAACACAATTTATCTAATATGTGTGGATAATTCTCAATGGCTTCCATCTGAAACCACTTTATCAATGGCTCATGTTAACCCACAGTCTGACTACTCAGGAACCCGCTGTTTGGGAAGTTAGAAGCTGCCGTTGACATTTGCAGAAAACCACAGTTTCGATTTGAGTTAATGTTAACAAACAGATTTAGGATTAGGGAAGGATCAGTGGAAAAACCACAGCTTTGATTTGGGGTGAGAGTTAGTGCTAGTATAAACTCTATCCTTGATCTAACATTCCCGTTAACAGAAACTGTCATCTTGATTTAGAATTACAGTGGGGCGCCAGAGCTCACAACCTTGATCTCGGGATGTTGGCAGATACAGTCGTCTTGATTTAAATTGATCAGGAAGCACAGCCTCCAATTCTTGTGCTCCTCTGAAACTGGAAGCGATGGTGTAATGGGCAATGATGCCATGCATGTGAGGGGCATTGAACAATGCCAACTCATTACATGCCTGTTGTAGTGCCTGGCTCCTTTGAAAACAAACACTGCTTCCATATGTTGGCTGTACGTGCACAACTGAGCTGAACTTCAGGGAAACAGTGGAGATAGACAGAGAGAGAGAAATGCACACAGGCAGATACATATAGATACAGACACACACACACACCGAAGTTGAGTCTCAGGCTGGTGTAGAGACTCTTGAGCATGGTGATGGGTTTCTGCGTGTATCAGACACACTCGCTGATCAAGATGATGGGTTTCCTCGAGTGTCAGGAAAAGCCGAGTGTTGTTGTTGTTTTCGTGGCTATTTCCGAAGAAGACATGCCTGTACTTTCAGGTGTAAGGGGTTGGACGCCTGTGGATTGGACCTGGGACAGTGAACTGGCCGGCTCCTCAAGCCTCCCTCCCACAGGAGGCGGTCACCCCCTGGAATGCTGACATTAACAGGCAGTACATCACGGCTGACACGCAGCAACTCCTATGTCTCCTCACAGGGATATCGAGTCGGACGTTACTCCTAACACCCCACCACAAGCGTTCCTCAACCCCGCCAGAAAGCCGCCCCATCGCCGCACAGACACATAGACTGCCCACAGCACACTCACTCGCTCCCATAGTCACACACAGTGACACAGCAAGGAAACAGGCCATTGATCCTATTACATAATAATAATCTATTCTTCTCTCCCTCATGTATGCATCAAGTGTTCTCTGAATTATATTAATGCTTTTTGCTTCCATCACAGATTCCAGCAATGAGTTCCACATTCTCACCCCCACCCTGTGAAGAAGTTCCTCCTAAACTCTCTATTAGATGTTACAGCCTCATTTAGATTAAACCCTTCAGTCCTGGACTCACTAACAAGTGGAAATAGCACATCCACCTTATTGAATCCTTTTATAACCGTAAACCCTTCAATCAGGTCTCCCTTCAATCATCTCCACTCTGGAGAGGCTCCGTCAGCATGTGTCCCATCTTCCTTGATAGATTTATCTTCTCAACCCTGGGGAACATGCTTGCAAATCTAGGCTGAACTCTCTCTCTCTCTCCGATGCGATATGATTTGTCCTGTAATGTGACGATCAGAACTGTACACAGTAGCCGAACGTGGTCTAACCAGGGTTTTATATATAAGCATAACATCACCTCCCTGCTTTTACACTCTATTCCCTACCCACAAAGTCAAGGACTCTATCTGCACTCTTTATGGCTTTGCCTAACTGTCCTGCTATTCAGACGTGAACAAGGTCACAGATACGGGCACAGCCGCCCAGATTACAAACTCACACACACAGACAAAGAGAGAGACACACACCTCTGTTACACCGCCTGTTACCACGTGTTTTCCGGTTACTTTAGCGGCTGAAAAAGATACCAATTAAAAAAAAGCTAGAGGCAAACAACACAGTCTCACAGAAACCTCCAGTGAGTCGCGTTACATACCCTTGCTGCTCCGTGCCTTCAGCAGGACTGAGGCTGTGCCTGGGCTGGGGTGAGCTGTACCTGTGGCCCTGGCCTGTTGCTCAGTGGGGGCCGCATGTTTAAGCTGCTGTAATCCTGGGCACATGTCGCAGTTTAATAGCCCAGACCAAAGGAAGCCTTGTTACCAAGCCAGGCCCAACACCCCCAGCCATCGGCAGGAATTTTCATTCCACTGTTTATTGTTTATCGCTGAGATTCATTAAGCAAAAGAAACTTTGTGCAACTTCTGATTAAAACTGGATTAAAGTGATGAAGCGACTTTGACTCAAAACCTTTCAAAAAAGGGGTCAAAAGACTCACCTTAAATGTCCCTGGTATTAGATAATAATAATAATCCTTTGATATAGCGCCTTATCAGGTCATTGAGACGTCTCAAAGTGCTTCAAGACTCCCCCAATATTAGATCCCCCCCCAGTGTTAAGTGTCTCACCCAAAGGACGTCTCTTCTGATAAACACAGCAACATTTCCATAAGTGATCCAATACAACATCTATCTGAGCCCAGTGACTGAAATAAATTTCCTTACTCCACGTGCCTTTGTTTACCAAACAGTAAATAGGAACCTGGCTCTAGACGATTGGCGGATTGCTTTTACGGGGGAAATAACAATAAAGTGTAGTGACTGTGCATTTTAATAATAATAATAATAATAATCCTTGCATTTGATATAGCGCTTTTCACGTCGGGAGGACGTCCCAAAGCGCTTCACAGAACACACTGTAAAGTGAATTGACTGTATATTTGTGGGCGAAGCGCTTTGAGACGTCTTGACAACGCAATAGGGCGCTATATCAAATGCAAGGATTATTATTATGATTATCATCTAACCCAAACAGACACCTAAAGTCCTTATGACCTGAAACTGGCATCAAAGTGGAGTCAATCAATCTAGTGGCACAGGTGCTCTCGCTGTGTGACGCACCTTGGTCTGTTATTCTGATTTTTTTTTAAACGCCAACTGTTTTGCAGGAACAATAACCGAAGTCTCCGTTTGATGAGCTTGACCCTGACCCACCCACCAGTCTCTCTCACACCTGGTGAACAAACAAGAGGTGAGTGCACGTGGCACGGAGCCCAGTGCTGGTTCTGAAAAGTGTTAGAATCTGGGAAAGTGAGTGGGGGTGGGGGGTAGGGGGCTGGGGCAGTGGAGCATGGCGGCCCCTAGCCATGATTTACACAAGACGCAACAAAGGAAAAGTACAGCGAGTGAGTTGGACAATTAACCCTGTGCGATATCCACTCCACAAACACCGGTGGGCTGCGATTCCGGCCGGTGTTCTGCGAAACGTAATAATAATCCTTACATTTGATGTGGCACCTTATCATGTTGTTGGGACGTCTCAAAGCGCTTTCATTGGATACACTCAAAGTGAGCTGACTGTGTATTTTGTGGGTGAAACGTGTCAATTGCGTGGATTCAGTGGCCAAATTTTTTGGAGGGATGATTACCCGCTAATCGACTAACAACCAAGTTCCTACCTACTGCTGGGTAAACAGAGGTGTGTGGAGGAAGGAAATTTGCCTAAGGTTTCACCCCCACCAGCCCGGAAATCAAACCTGTGTCCTCTCGCTTGTGAAGCGAGGGCTCTAACCACTACACTCAGGGGCTCCATAGGAACATGCAAAGCTTGGACAGTGTGAGCTTGGACAGTGAGGTGTTGCGTGTGCTGAAGGCTGGAGGCCAGTGGAGATGCCTCGCGCAGACCCTGCGATGTAGTGAAGGCCCCAGCACTGGGATCACAGTGAGAATTCTGAATTCCTCAATTCTAGCCACTGCGAAGCAGGTACTCGGTGTACTCCAGCCTAGGCCGTGCATTCCATCAATTAAATTACAAAATTAAGACTATTCACGGGCTCAAGGCCTCCACCTGATCAGCCGGGGCCTCAGCTATGGGAACAGGTAACAAATTGAGAATCCATTCTCAACAATTGGGCAACAAAGCCTCATCCAACCACAGCTCATCACCAGAGAACATGTCTGCACTCACTGTTGGCTGTGGATTTGCAAATAACCTTATTTTACCAACTAGAGCCGAACCTTGTGTGGCAGTGGAAGCACTCTCACCTCGGAGTCAACTCCTACATCGGGACTTGGAATCACATCGTCTAAGCTGACGCTGCAATACAAAGGCTTTAGTGATTGATAAATGCACATTCCCTTCTTTTTCTGATATGTCTGAAAACACACAACTTGATTGTGTAACTCCTTAATAGTGGAAGAGGTCAACAAGGCTGATCCCAAGTGCAGGAGATGGCTGAGTGGTCAAGGGAAAGAAAATTAAAGCTTAATAATACTAACCCTTGCATTTGATATAGCACCTTATCACGTTGTTGAGAAGTCTCAAAGCGTTTCATAAAATATGCTGTAAAGTGAATTGGTTTTATATTTTGTGGGCGAAACGAAGCAGGCAATTAATTGTACCCTGCAATGTTTCACAAACAGTTGTGGATTGAGTGACCAAATTTATTTTTATTATTATTAAGAGAAAGACTCGAGTTTTATTTGAACTGATGAGGGCACACAATCTCTTTATGTCTCCCTGAATCACAAGCTAGGCAGGAAGATAAAATGAATAACCCAACAATACTAAAGGGCATTGATAACATAGTTATAATGTGATTGCTTCATTTAAACTGAGATAACAACTTTAAGAGCAGATAATTAAAATTGTCTCACATCTATAAATGGAGAGAATTACTTTCTCTCCTCAATATAAGTCGCCGAATGTAGTTTCAACAATGATGTCTAGTCCTCTTTAGATCATTTTCTCGAATCCACAACTGGTCAGGTTAATTCTTCTAGGTCGGAAACTTAGACTAACACTTTTGAAGTTTGATTCGATTGTCCTCGAGGTAAACCGTTCACTTACTGGAAATATTTTCTGGGCTTAATAGAATCATAGAAAGTTTATGGAGCACAGAAGGAAGACACTTAGCCCAATGTGTCTGTGCTGGTACTGGCTCCCAGACTGGAGCTCTCCACTCTAAACCTAGCAACACAAGTAGAATACATCAATAGCCAATACAGAGAATACGCCATTCGCCCCTGTAAGTGAAGTGCGACAATAAGGCTGATATGTGGAGTACACCAGAGAATCTGGTAACAGATAATAATAATTGCATTTGAAATAGGCCATTGTTTTGTAGGCTGGCACTGAAGTTTGTACTGTGTGGTCAGCCCCGCACTGCATTAAAGCGTCAGCCTAGATTATACAAGTTCTAAATCCTGACGTGGACCTTAAACCCAGAGGCGAGAGCGTAATCGACTGAGATGTGAAATAATTCACCTGAATTTACGATTCCAAAACTGCTCCTTTTAGAGAGTGATTCTATTTGCCTACCAGCAAGTTTCTCTTGACTGCTAAAGTACCTTTTTGGGAGTTTTTCTTACCTGTGTAAGAAAAGTGCCTGACGTCAGGGCCAGTCGAGTTGCTGAGTTAAAGAGGCTGTTTCTTCCTCCAACCCCCAGAGCTTTAAGTGGCGAAGTTGAGAGGTGCAGAGCTAGTCTCTAGCTTTATGGGAATAGCTCACAGCTTATATAGCACTGTGTTTGGTATGAACTGGTTAGCACCCAGTTTATATGCAAATACCTCAAAAAGGGATCAGAAAGCCACCTTACTGGCTGGAAGGGGAGAGATTGTACATCACTTGCCCCATTAATTACTTTATCTGTGCCAATCTCTCGCCGACTGACAAAGTACCAATCCCGTGTGTTGGTTTAATTCCCAGCGGTAGGTAGCTGTCAGTGAGAAAGAAAGTTTCTCAGGTTTGAGGGCTGTACCGGTGCCAGCTCCCACTGTGGCTTCAGGGAGCTGCCTCAGGGGGACTCTCAGAGGTGAAGGTTAACAGAATTTCATTTTAATTGTGCTTCTGTGTGTTTATTGCAAAGCAATGAGCATAAAAGCCTCCAAGCACGCTGCTCATTCACACCGCTACGCTCTCTGCATACTCAAGCGTGTCAAACACTTCCCCCTGGAGTCTGCCTCCCACCCACCAGGGATGAAGGACGTTTCAGTACATTAACTGGCTCCCAAGTTCACTCTGCGCATGGTAATGTGATAGATTTGACATCTCACCGAGGTCAGAAAATATCCTGTGACCTGAGTCAGGTGAGAGCTACGTGCTGTGCACACAAGTTATGCAATTGTTCAGCTTAAAAAAAGGGATAATTTATAATAATAATAATTGTTTCGCCCACAGAACATACGGTCAATTCACCTTATGTCTCAATGCCCTGATAAGGCGCGATAATGCATAGATTATAAGGATTATTTCAATATTAATCATTGCATTTTATACAACGCCACATCAGGTCACCAGGACAGGATTTTACTGTGAAGTGCAGAGACCGTATTTTGTAGGCAAATGCGGCAGCCAACTTGTGCATGGCAATGTCCCACACAGACCAAGGGCATGAATTATTTAGTTGCTCCGAGACACCGTCTGGCGTAAAGGGCTCTATATAAATGCAAGTTATTTTTGTTATAATAATACTTGTATTTGGTATCATGAGACAAGAAGAGCTATCATGAGCTAGAAAGCTCCAGTGGGGGAGCGAGCACCAGCACAGACACGATGGGGGGGGAAACGGGGAATGGGGTTAGAGTAGAGAGTGTCAGTGGGGGACGAGCACTTGCAAGTCTATTATGGACCAAGTGACTTCCTTGTAAACAATGGTTCCACAATTCATCTCAACCAGAAAGAAAGAAGAGATGTATTGAAAACCAATGCTAAAGATCATATCCCAAGCACTTTTCACCAGATAGTGGAACAGACCTCTCCATCAAGACCGTCCACCTGGTCACAAGGCAATCCCATTAATAAATCAGCAACTGGACCTTATGGGGGAGGAGAGGGATAGGAGGAGGGGGAGTGGGCTCCTATATAAAAGCTTCTAGCTATTATTGCTGTTGTCCATCATTTGTTCTCCCAGCTCTCACAATAGGAGGGCTTGGGTGAGAACAGACTGTGCCTCAGCACTGAGTTCCCAGGACAGGTGCCTCACTATTTCAGGACAGGAACAAACACTGAGAACAAACTTCAAGCTGCTGATATATTGTGGACTCGGGGGCTGGAGACTTCTTTATTCCCTCACCTCCTCATCTCCAGACACAACAACAACAACGATATTCCCTGTGTAAAGCCCCTTTCACGTCGGGAGGATGTCCCAAGACGCTGGACAGTCAAGAGTTTCGGACCCGAGCTGGGGTTTCGGGATCAGGGAGGGTAGAGGGCAGGGGGGAAGCAGGGAGATCGAAAGCACGGTTGAAGAGGAGGGTCTTGAGATGGATCTTGAAGGAGCCAAAGGAGGGGGCGAGACGGAGGAACTGCGGGATGGAGTTCCTGAGTTCCAGACACAGCTTCAATCCTGATTTACAACAACAACTTGCGATTACACAGCGTGCGTCATGCTTGGCAGCATCCCAGAGCACTTAACAGAGGAGAGCATGCCACTGAGCTGGGGGGAGGGAAGGGGTGACCATAAGCATGGTCAAAAAGGAAGGTCTTCAGGCGTGATCTTAACAAGGGGAAAGGGGGGGGAAAGGCAGAGGAATTGGAAGAGTTCCAAAGCTTCAAGGTGTAGTGACTGAAGATCAGCCGATGGTGGAGAAGAAGGGATGAGGGATAAGCAGGAGGGCAGAGCTGGCTGAGCGAAGGCAGCAGGTAGTGGGTTCGGGAGTAAGCAGGTCGGAGAGGTAGGGAGGTACCAGGGTGTGAAGGGATTTGTAGACAAGTGAGAGGATCCTGAAGTCAATCTGTTCTGTGATAGGGAGGCAGTGGAGCCTGGCGAGGAGTGGGGTGATGGGAGTGCAGAGTTTAGAACGGAAGTTTTTAATTAGTGGGATTTTGTGGATAGTGGAGCTGAGAAGACCGGCGAGGAGGGCGTTGGAATCATCGAGGTGGGAGGTGACAAAAGCGTGGACAAGGGTTTTGGCTGCATTGGGAGTGAGGTATGGTCAGAGGTGGACAATGCAACAGAGCTGGAGGGAAGCGGTCTTGGTTAGGGATCGGATGTGGGGTAGGAAGCCCATTCTGTCCAAAACATTTAAGAAATGTGGAGCAGTTGAGGTCTGATCCGCGTAATGACAGGCGTGATGATAAATTTAATTCTCCTAGCAGGAGGTTGTATGGTGAAATATGGGTTACACTATGTTATGTACTGTTGCTGGGAACATTACTCTCAAACAACTGTTAATTACTTCAGTAAGAGAACATACCCAAATGTATTGCAGGGATCGAAAGGGCCATAAAAAGCCTTGGAAGCAGATCATTTCTTCAATCATTTCATTATCTTAGCGCTGTGATACTGCACTCACCTGTAAGTCATGTGTTAGCTCAAGTGAGTGCAGTGCCGCAGAGCTAAGGTTCCCCCGCATACACAGAACCATACAGAACGCCAAGCTATGCAACGCTCAACACCAGAGCAACAACAAGAGCAACTTGATTTCACACAGCGCCCTTCATGTAGGGGAGCGTCTCAGAGCGCTTAACAATGGGGGAGCCACAGTTGACTGCTGCGTAAAGTAAACCTGTGCACAGTCACTGCATTTTACAATAAATCCTGTGAAGCACTTTGGGATGTCCTCCTGATGAAAAAAATATCTACATCAAATGCAAGGATTCTTATTATGATTATTAGTATTATTAACAAGAATCTAAGCAGTGAATTCAGGACGTGGCTACCCACTTTGGAAGCTGTAGGCGATTTTATGCCCTAACTCCACTAGGTGACACTCTCGATCAGAGTTAAATGCGAATTACAGCAAATAGTGAAATAATATTCAGAACATGTTTGCATCTGAAGCAAAAAGAAAAGAAAGGATCAATTTTCCAAATTTGTCTCTCTCACCAGGAACATCACCCAGAAAAAAAAATGCGTGGTTTAATCTAACCGAGCTCGGTCGATTCCCCACCTACAAAAACACAGTCACTACACTTCACAGGAAAACTCCATGAAAGATCACTCTTTGTACAAAGAACTTGTTCTTTGTTTTTCATTTTCTGTTATTCTGTTGTTGTTGTTGTTCTAGGCAACGACGCAGTGTTCAGTCCAGATGGGCAGTCAAGAACACAGGTGGCTGTTGGTGCGAGTATTCAGCCCTCATGTTGAGGTCTTAAGGCTTCTTACGGTGTGTGTGTGGGGATGGGCGGGGGGAGGTGGGGGGGCAGGGGATATGAATGTCGGTTGTCATTTGCTGATGTTTAACACAACAACAAATTATATTTACACGGCACCTTTCACGTTGGGAGGACATCCCAAGGTGCTGGAATGGAGTTCCAAAAGGGACTCAGAATGATAAATACTTAACATTTAACAGCAGAGTAAAAGCACCAATCAAATCCATTACAGGCATCAGAGCCAATTAAGTTAAGTTGTGCCATAAAATAGTCTCTCTGCTATCACTGTAAGTCATACTTTGAGAAGGGTTTATTACCACTGATAGGATAGAACCAAAGGACTCGCAGCCTGTTTAACGACTGACAGAATTGACAACGTCAAGAGAATTATGCACATGGAGGAGTTGTACATTAAAACAGATCATGTTCACCCACGTCGTTGAGTGGTGCTATCTAAATCCCAGAGCCTCTTTGCATCCTATTAGTACATTGTTCTCCACATTCACACTGGAAATTAATGCAAAGCATTAACGTTCAGTTGCAGAAATTTATTTCCTTCTAGTTCTCCAAGTTGTGCAAGTCGAGACACGCATATCAATCTCGAGTGGACAGCAGGAGAACCATCAACAGCAAATTGCAGTTATGTAAAGCCTTTCACATAGAATGAACGTCTCGAAGCACTTAACGATTTGGATAGGGAGAAGAGAGATTTAAGGAGCTCGATCCAAGGCATAGTCGATTGTTTGTCGATTGGACCAAGAGTTCCACGTATGCCACCTACACATGGAAATTCTGTGTCTTAAAAAAACACACATAGCTTGCCATTGAGAGCCCTGTCTGGCAAGCTTCCCCACTGCGTGTCCAGCAAAGACCACCCTACCCGTCAGGGCTTTGGCTTGCAGGGTTAACAGGAGCTGAGTGGAAAGAACCCCGAGTGACTGGTCTGCCCTTCCAAGTCCTGCGAATGAGCCAGACTGGGCTGAGCTGTCATCAGCAATGTCCTGGAGAAAGAGAGAGCTGGACTCAAGTTATTAAATGAGTCCATTCCTCTAGCCTCAGTAGTAAACCTACTGTTGGATTCTCCGATGTTAAAGTTATGCAGCTTGTGACCTGAGGTTAATCCTGAAACTCTCTGATAAAGGTTGTGACATTGTTCGTGCAATAATACTAGTATCTAAGCATTTCGACTGACAAAAGATTTAAGCACAAATATATGTGCTATTTACATAAAAAGAACAAGCAATCAGGCGGCAGACAAGGCACTTTCACCTTGAAATCTGTGAATGTGTGAAACTACGCAACAGCCTTCAGGCTGATCTGGAAGCAGATTCTGGTGAAAGCATAGGAACAGGAGGAGGCCATTCAGCCCCTC